TTGGAGGTTGGGTTGGAGCTAGTTGAGCATCGACAGAGGATGAAATGTTGGCCAAAAGATCCTTGGCGATTGTTTTTTGGTGGCCCATTTTAGTAGCAAAAACTGTTCGGCATCGTCGACGGCGTTGGGATATCGAGATCAGATATGGAGCCAAAGTAGACGGCTGCTCAGCCGGATCAGAGGTCGATCCTTGATCTGGCCGAGATGAGGAGGCTGCTTGAGGAGTTGTAGTGGAAGGCGGAGAAAGGATTTTCTTCTTCTTCTTCTTGGAAACGTCAGGAAGAGCTAACTTGTAGGTAGAAATGAAATTGAGTAGAAGATGGGCCTTTCGTTTGAGGACTGGCAAATCCAACAATTTCCTTAAGCCTTTACTGAGAAAGAAAGACTGACGGAAGCTCTTTGGTGGCTGAGGAAGAGCTGCAAGAAAAACAGACATTAAAAACAGATAGAGTATTGAAGGCTTTAAAACAAACAAGTTAATATGGACACAGGGCTCTTATCATTGTCCTCTATAAAAACTATTCGAGGAAGAGAGTAAACATGGAGGTCCTCATCTGGAGCGAACTCCCAGTTCCTCGAGGTAATGAAGTAGTCGTCTGCAGCTCCTTTATTGGAGTCGGGGAGGTCGGCTACGATTTTGTACTCTGTAGATCTCAGCTTGAGGTAGTAAACGTAGCTCGTATCTTTTTTGAGGCCACACATTGTATAGCAAAATTGGATATCGGCTAAGGTAACCCTAACGTTTTCTTGTTTGGCTAAAGCTATGATGCCATTAATAACTTGGTAGGAGTTGATGGCAAGCTGCATTGGGTTCAACTTATAGTAGTGAATGATCTCACGAAAAAGGATATTGAGTGGAAGCCGAGGTCCGCACTCGATGAAAGCTACAACAGGAAGGGGCATGGAATTGGCTGTGGGCATGATAGAGTCATCCTCCCTAGGCAACCTCAGATAGACGTCGGCAGGGATGTCAAACTCACGCCTGAAGTGATCTAACTTGGTCGGGGTGTCTACCCTATGTTTCCACATACCCATGATATCGGCCTAACTAGGAGGAGCTGGGTTTCAGAAAAAGGGAGCTTTAAGAAAGGGATATTAGGACCTCAGCAAAAACCTAAGTATGTGCTGGGTAAGAATTTGTGGAAATAGTTTCAGTTTTTTCCTAAGAATTTGTTGGTTCTTCAAACAAATCCCAAACCAAGATCTATGGAAATGAAGATTGAAGGCACGAATCTGAAAAACAGAAAAGCAAGAATGCGCTTCAGAATCAAGAACAAAGATGGACTATCAAGAACATTGTAAGTACGAAGGGTATAAGGTCAAGAACAGTGGCAAAAGTGCAGAAAAGTTGTGAGCAGTGCGAGTATTCAAGACATGGGCAAAGAACAAAATCGTGAAATAAATACGCTCAGATGCATGATTCATGAATCAAATATTTGAGTAAAACAGCAATGGCGACTCAATGATGAAGCAAAATTTCTTAGAACACAACAAGAACTAAAACCAGGAGGAATGGTGACTTACCAGAGAAAAGAAGCCGATGTTGAGATCGCCGATGTAAGAAGAACGGCGGCAGCGGACCAGATTGGCAAGAACCTCGCCGGAGGAAATGGACAGAGCAAGTTGCAGAGCTTTGGAAGCTTGAGCAATGGAGGATCTTGAAGGGAAAAGTTAGAGAGAGAAAAAAGCTTCAGACACGAAAGTGAAAAGTGGAAAGACGGGGAAAGAAACAAGTTTTGTCAAAACTTGAAACGGCGGCAAAAAAAAAAAGGCAATTAAATGCGCCTGGAACAACGAATACGTCAGACGGCGCATGTAGGCGCAAGACGACTTGCAGATGCGTCCGGAGTACGATCCAGTAAGAGAAAGACGCGTGGCTGAAACGGTTGAGTTATTTTGCATGACAGCTTATACGCGTGAAGGAAATCTTGGAAACTTTTAACCTTAAAGAGACATGTCAGCCTATATGATGATCTCGGCTGAGAGACTTTAAACCGATGTATTGATAGGAAGTTCTGATATAGGTTCTATCACCTCAGGATGCCGAGGTAATAGAACTTAGGGGGCAGTTGTGGGGATATATTTTCTGCGTACCAACACGTGGCCAAAGTGACGCCGATGTGTCAGCCGAGGTGCCACGTGTCCTGGTCATGACGCCGAGGTTATCTCGACAAGGCCGAGGTTATCTCCGAAGATATCGGAATTCGAGATAAGCGGATAAGGCACAAGAGTCCTAGAATAATGAGAGAACTCAGCCTGGATAAAGATAAAACTCTTAGGGAGTTTATCTCTATCTATAGAAAAGTTTTGGATAAGCACTAAACAGAAGTCCATTTAAGCTAGGCTTCTATTGGGACAGGGATGAAGCTAACTATAAAAGAAAGGCACCCCCGATGGGTCTAAGGTACGCAATTTATATTCTGAACAGTGAGTTTAACACTATTGATTATCTTTGAGAGATATACTGACTTGATCGTCGGAGTGCCCCCGGGTGGATGAACCACCGCCGGAACCTTATCTTTCTGTTGCAGGTCAAACATGTGCCATCTATTCTGCCAGTGCTCTCCAGCTGAATACTGAGTTGGCAGTGTGACTGGAAAATCACTCACACACCACCCATTACACAATCAACTCGGTAGGAGTTGATGGCAAGCTGCATTGGGTTCAACTTATAGTAGTGAATGATCTCACGAAAAAGGATATTGAGTGGAAGCCGAAGTCCGCACTCGATGAAAGCTACAACAGGAAGGGGCATGGAATTGGCTGTGGGTATGATAGAGTCATCCTCCCTAGGCAACCTCAGATAGACGTCGGCAGGGATGTCAAACTCATGCCTGAAGTGATCTAACTTGGTCGGGGTGTCTACCCTATGTTTCCACATACCCATGATATCGGCCTAACTAGGAGGAGCTGGGTTTCAGAAAAAGAGAGCTTTAAGAAAGGGATATTAGGACCTCGGCAAAAACCTAAGTATGTGCTGGGTAAGAATTTGTGGAAATAGTTTCAGTTTTTTCCTAAGAATTTGTTGGTTCTTCAAACAAATCCCAAACCAAGATCTATGGAAATGAAGATTGAAGGCACGAATCTGAAAAACAGAAAAGCAAGAATGCGCTTCAGAATCAAGAACAAAGATGGACTATCAAGAACATTGTAAGTACGAAGGGTATAAGGTCAAGAACAGTGGCAAAAGTGCAGAAAAGTTGTGAGCAGTGCGAGTATTCAAGACATGGGCAAAGAACAAAATCGTGAAATAAATACGCTCAGATGCATGATTCATGAATCAAATATTTGAGTAAAACAACAATGGCGACTAAATGATGAAGCAAAATTTCTTAGAACACAACAAGAACTAAAACCAGGAGGAATGGTGACTTACCAGAGAAAAGAAGCCGATGTTGAGATCGCCGATGTAAGAAGAACGGCGGCAGCAGACCAGATTGGCAAGAACCTCGCCGGCGGAAATGGACAGAGCAAGTTGCAGAGCTTTGGAAGCTTGAGCAATGGAGGATCTTGAAGGGAAAAGTTAGAAAGAGAAAAAAGCTTCAGACACGAAAGTGAAAAGTGGAAAGACGGGGAAAGAAACAAGTTTTGTCAAAACTTGAAATGGCGGCAAAAAAAAAAAGGCAATTAAATGCGCCTGGAACAACGAATACGTCAGACGGCGCATGTAGGCGCAAGACGACTTGCAGATGCGTCCGGAGTACGATCCAGTAAGAGAAAGACGCGTGGCTGAAACGGTTGAGTTATTTTGCATGACAGCTTATACGCGTGAAGGAAATCTTGGAAACTTTTAACCTTAAAAAGACATGTCAGCCTATATGATGATCTCGGCTGAGAGACTTTAAACCGATGTATTGATAGGAAGTTCTGATATAGGTTCCATCACCTCAGGATGTCGAGGTAATAGAACCTAGGGGCAGTTGTGGGGATATATTTTCTGCGTACCAACACGTGGCCAAAGTGACACCGATGTGTCAGCCGAGGTGCCACGTGTCCTGGTCATGACGCCGAGGTTATCTCGACAAGGCCGAGGTTATCTCCGAAGATATCGGAATCCGAGATAAGCGGATAAGGCACAAGAGTCCTAGAATAATGAGAGAACTCAGCCTGGATGAAGATAAAACTCTTAGGGAGTTTATCTCTATTTATAGAAAAGTTTTGGATAAACACTAAACAGAAGTCCATTTAAGCTAGGCTTCTATTGGGACAGGGATGGAGCTAACTATAAAAGAAAGGCACCCCCGATGGGTCTAAGGTACGCAATTTATATTCTGAACAGTGAGTTTAGCACTATTTATTATCTTTGAGAGATATACTGACTTGATCGTCGGAGTGTCCCCGGGTGGATGAACCACCGCCGGAACCTTATCTTTCTGTTGCAGGTCAAACATGTGCCATTTATTCTGCCAGTGCTCTCCAGCTGAATACTGAGTTGGCAGTGTGACTGGAAAATCACTCACACACCACCCATTACACAATCATCATCCAAACACATAACAAAAATTAATTTGGTAAAATAAATAAATAAATAAATGTCTAAATGATTTATTAATTTAGACATAATTTTATTTTTAGTGGGTAGAAATAATTTTTAAAAATTTAAAAATACTTTTTCGACATTTATTTTTGTCAAATTAATTTATATTTTATTAAATTAATAATTTTATTCTTCAAATCAACTAATATATATTCAATTTTCTTTATTTAAAATAAAATTTAAAATTTAAAATTAAATATATTACAAATAAAAAATTAAGCATAAAAAAATAAACATAGGATACATATTCAATCCGACCAAATAGTCCGGAGATTCACAGTCTCAAAACTCAAGTCCAATAGATTCTAACCCCCTATTTTCCAGTCCGTCCAATCAAACACACCATAAAATGACACGAATCGCAGAGGATAAGCAGTGTTACTGCAATTCGCCATCAACCAATAGAACTCAATGGGGACAAAGTGTAGAGTCACATCCAACTCACGTGATACCACCATATAACGGCACGTAACATCCGTTTGTTCCGCATAACTTTCAACACACTCCTTTTGATTCTCTCTCTCTGCTCTCTTCGATCCCTGAAAGTGTCAATTTGGGTTTTCATTCACATTCTCTCTCTACACTCTCTCGATATTCGATCAATTCGCCAAGATGAAGCTTACTGTAAAGACTCTCAAAGGCAGCCACTTCGAAATTAGGGTTCAACCCACTGACACCGTGAGCGCCCCCCCCCTCTCTCCCTCTCTCTCTCTCTGTCTCTCTCTCTCTCTATATATATATATATATATATGCGTTTCTGTAAAGATGGAAAACGTTTTCTTTTATGATTTTCCTTAGTTTTCTGAGCTGCCAAACACTGGGTTGGGATTAATTTTTATTGTTTAATCAGGAGTGCTTTTTATTTTTTATTTTTGGAAATGTCAATGAGCTGAAACTAAATTGAATTTGTGTTTTATTTTCCTTAGTTTTCTGAGCAGCCAAAACCTGGGTTTTGAAAATGCCTGAAATTTATTCTTTGCTTCTCACTGAAATTAATGAGGAAATAGTGGGCCATTTTGTAAAAAAATGATATATTAGGTCAGTGGTTCTCTCATGTTTTTAAATAATGTGGAATTAAACTTGTAATGTAGCTGTTTTTGCAAGGTACAATTGTGGTAGGTAATGTTTTAGAAAAGGAAATTGAACTGTGTGCACTGTTGATTGGATAGTGTAAAGGATTGAACTTTTAGGGAGTTCATATTTTGATTATACTGTGAGGTTGTTTAGATGCTAATTCTTAATACAATTAGAACCCCTAGGGTTCACAAATTTGAAAATTTGTCAAAGTTCATAGCTTGTTAAACTAGATATTCATGGCTTTTGTGGAAAGTGAATTAGAATATGGGTTTGGGAATTAGGTTGTACAAGAACAAGTGGGAGGTAAAAAGGAACTGGGGTTTATGCGAGTGAGAAAAGAGATCATGGTATATTGTCTGACATGATATCATGGTTATCACCGTTGACACAGACATTTAGGCGTTGTTTGGGGTACTCTAAAAAGGTCAAAAAGTTAAAAAGTCACTATCCTATTTAAGTCACACCATTTTATTTAAGTCACATCACCTCTTTACCACATCACTTAAAACCCAACCCATATCCAACTCATATTTCACAAAAAGTCAAAAAGTTCACCTATTTAGATCATCCCAAACCACCCCTTAGTTTCATGCTTAATAGTTGGGTGGTGTGACTAGGGGGATCATAGTTCAATTATTTGGATTTGAATACATGAATAAGTAAATGAAGTCAAAAGATAGAATTATATTGTTACGAAGTATTTGTGCGACCAACCTTGAGGAGAAAGTATCTTAAGGTTTGTTGAGCATAGCATGAATTGATGAACACAATTTTGTTTTGCTGCTGTAAAAATGACTGAAACATTATATGTCCTAATATTACTTGAAACATTAGTGAAAAATCAAAATTCCAATATTTTCATGCAAACATAGAAAACACACCAAAATTTACTGAAATATTACGAAACACACTAAAAAAAAGTTTCGTTTCAATATCTATTTGGAACCTTAATAAAGTTGTTATATTGCTGTTGGTTTTTATTAAAATAAAAAGATTTGGGAATGATGGAAACATCTCAAATTTTACTGAAAATATTAGCGACTAGAATCGAGAAAATGAAAGATAAAGAGAAAAGAAAGATAACATGGTCAAGCTAGTTATTGATAAGCCATCAATAATAAATGGCAGTTCAACCAGTGATATTGTAGATAAAGGGCATTAGCTGCACTTGTAGAGAGAGAGAGTCAGTTAGTTGTTTGGGTGTAATTCAAGTTGTTAAGAGTGTAGTTAACACTTCTGAGTTAGTTGTAACAGTATTAGATATGTTGTATATATAGGAACTTTGCTCATCTTGACAAGTAATGAGAATTGATCCAGTATTTCCACATGGTATAAGAGCAGAAACGAGCTCTCATGAGCACCAGTCTTGACAGCCATGGCTTCTTCTTCAGCCCTAGCTTCTTCATCTAATTCTTTGAGTTCCTCATCTATTCCTTCGAATTTAAGTTTGCTGATCTCAAGTCTGTCTTCATATGTCACCGTTAAGCTAGATTCGTCAAATTTTTTGATGTGGAAGAACAAATTCCAAAACATTTTGCGTGCTACAGAGTTGATTGGCTTTGTTGATGGTACATCTCCTTGTCCTCCATCCACCATCAAAGATGCGACTGGTTCTAAGATCATCAATCCAGCGCAATTAAATGCACTTGTGACTCTTCCCTTTTTATTCATAAGACTCTGACTTCCATCACCATTTTAGTGGTGTATGTGGATATTTTACTCACTGGGAGTGATCCTTCTCGTATTCAGTCTTTGGTTCATTAAATACACTTGGCTTTCTCAATGAAAGAATTGGGCCACTTGTCTTATTTTCTTGGCATCTCAGTCCAAGCCAATGCTACTCACTACTTTCTTTCCCAGCAAAAGTATGCTCAAGAAATTCTTCACAAAGCTGGGTTAGTGGATTGTAAGCCTTGTTCATCTTACCTCCGTCAAGCCTGGTTTAGTTCCTAATGTTGATCTTCCCTTTCACAATTCCTGACTTTATCGAACTATTTTGGGTTCTTTGCAATATCTAACAATCACCCGACCTGATATCTCTCTTGCTGTAAATCAAGCATGCCAACATATGCATCAACCCACTAATGGCGACTTTTCTGCGGTCAAATGGTTGCTTCAGTTTGTTAAAGTAACTATCCAGCATGGTTTGACTTATACTCCAAGCACTTTGATGTTCATGCTTTTTTAGATTCTACTTGGGCAGGAGATACCATTGATAGGAAGTCCACATCTGGTTATTGTGTATTTTTTGGATCAAATCTTGTTTCATGGTCCACTAAGAAACAAGCAATTGTTTCCTGCTCATCTACTGAAGCTGAATATCGTGCTTTGGCTCATACTAAAGTTGAGCTTAGTTGGATTCAGATGTTTCTTGCTGATTTGTTTGTCCCCTCACCTACTTTTCCCATTCTTTGGTGTGATAATTTCTCTGCCATTGCTCTTGCATCCAACCCTGTATATCACTCTTGGTCCAAACACATCGAAGTTGATTGTCACTTTGTTGGTGAACGAGTGATTGCTAAGTGTCTCTCTCTCTCAAATATATTCCTACGGTTGATCAGGTGGCTGATATCTGCACCAAGCCCTTATTTGCCTCACGGTTTCAATATATCAAGACCAAACTCATTCTTTCCCCATTAGTTTGCAGGGCCATGATAAGCCATCAATAACCTAGTGATAATTTGTAGATAAAGGGCATTGGCTGCACTTGTAGAGAGAGAGAGAGTGAGTTAGTTGTTTGGGTGTAATACAAGTTGTTAGAGTGCAGTTAGCACTACTGAGTTAGTTGAAATAGTATTAGATATATTGTATATATATATAGGAGCTTTGCTCATCTTCACAAGTAATGAGAATTGATTCAGTATTTTCAGTTATTTTTAATTCTTAGGCTTGTTTTGGGAGCATCCTAAAAAAGCCAAAAAAGTCACTAAAAAAGCCAAAAAGCTAAAGAACTATACAAAGAAAAAAATAAAAAATAAAATCAAAAATTCCCTTTTCTCTTTACTTTTTGCATTTTTTTTTTTTGTGTGTAAAAAGTCAAAAAAATATCCCAAACATACTAATTTTTTTCTTCTCATATTTTAGCCAAAAGTTAAAAAGTTACTAAAATAGCCTAAATAATTATTGTCATTACTAGTTTCTCTTTTGTTTCTTACTAATTGCTTCTAGAATCTAGCTTCTTCCCCCCACCACACACACACACACACACACTCTCTCTCTGCTCAACCCATCCCTTTAAATGCGTCATTCATTATCTTTTAATGTTTATTGATCTTAGTTAAACCTTATTCGTAACCATCTTAAAGGGACTTTTTTAGTCTTGTTTACCAAAATGGCCTCCATACCCCCTTGAAGGCCCTTTGACGCTTGATTATTGTTATTATTATTTGTCATATGTTAATAAATATTTTTTGGTAGGAACTTTATGCACATTCAAAATCCTAAACTTTTTTTTGTTGGGTTTGATAATATGTTCGACTTTGGTACCATAAAATTGTTACCATAAACATTTCAGCTCATATTGACATTTGCTACCAAATCAGACATGTGTTGATGAGTAGACGTTACAAATATTCAATTATTTAATTATTCTAGTATGTATACATTTAGATATGTTTTAGTCTTATTTCCAAACGCTTTTGTCTATTTATAGAAAAACTTACTGATTCCAAATATGTTTCCGTTTTGACTGAACAACACACTGAAACAAAAATTTATTCCTTGGGGATTGGATTAACCTATTTGGAGATTTGTGGTTTAGCATCCCTTTTTAGATTTAAAATATTGGATATTAGAAAGTAAAAGTTGGATGAGTAAAATCTAGAGACATCAAATACATTTTCATTGATCACATCATGTGACTATTTCTCACATATGTTGAACTTCTTGTGTTCATTATAAGTATAGATCCACAGAAAAGCGACACCGCTTTGGGATAAAGGTTTTCTTACATGCTGTTTTGTGAAGTTACAAATATATCGGTAGTTGTAGGACTAAGGCGTGGATAAGAGAGGGAATTTTGACCAATTGGCACATTTTATATATTGTAATATGTTTTTGGTATTTACAACTATGTAATGAGAGTTGAAATGACATTTTATGTATTGTAATATGTTTTTGGTATTTATGCCTATGTAATGAGAGTTGAAATGACATGTAATTGCATAAATCATATGTCATATTATGTGCATACCTCATTTAAATGTTTGCTTAAGATTGATTGACATGAAAATTTATATGGTCCTAGATCATGGCGGTTAAGAAAAATATTGAAGATGTGCAAGGAAAAGACAATTATCCATGTGGACAGCAATTATTGATTCACAATGGAAAGGTTTTGAAAGATGAAAGTACTCTGGCAGAGAACAAGGTCTCTGAAGATGGTTTTCTTGTTGTCATGCTTAGCAAGGTAGCCTTCTTTCTTTGGAATTTATAGTTTTGTTTTTCTTTTTAACTCTAGAATGTTATACTAGTATGTGGGTACTGATAGTGTATTCTATGACTATTTTGCTTTGATACTTGTTTATGTTATTATTGTTGGTATTACATCTTTTTGCTTCTTGCATAAATATTGCATGCATCGTCTGAATGAGAGACTGATATTTTTAGAGTTCATCTATATTATATATGTGCATATATATATATTTATCTTATCAGACTTTTTCTATTCTTTGGTTACATCTATAGAGTAAAGCTTTGGGCTCAAGTGGGACCTCATCCACCCAGGTATTTCTGTTTGCAATGTGGTTACTATTTAAGCAATATTGCCATTTATTACCTTAGTTGATGTGATTTTTAACCAGAACATCTTTTATGGATATGTTTGAACAGCCTGGATCTACAACTCAACCAATTTCTAATCCTACTTCTGCACCTGAAGCTCCTGTACAAGCACCGTGAGTGAAAATGACAAGCGTTTGTATAATGTTTCTTCTTTGTTATCTGGATTCAACTCTTCATGTTGTGAACTTTGTTATACAGGGCCCCAGAAATCACCTCGTCTGGTTCCAATGTGGCAACAGCTAAGTATGGGTTCTATCTCTAATGTAATGTTGCACTTGCAAATTTGCAATGTCCTATGGCAACCCATGAACCATGGTTTTGTGATAAGCCTAATCTTTAAAAGAGAGGGGTGAGGCTGTTGGGGAAGGTTGTGATTTGCAATTTATGAGGACATTTGAAGACCATAAAAGATTTCATTGTCAATTAAAAATATAATGGATGCTTATCATTCATCCATAGGAGGAAAACTTATGCCAAAGAGGAATAAAACTAAAGTTCTACACTTAGATCAACATATATTTCTGTCTCCTTGTAGAGTGGGAAGAGCAATTGATCAAATTTGTGATGTTCCTATGACGAAACACTTATTATACTATAACTCATGTCTGATTGACCACGTTATCCCATGTATAAATTGGTTTACCTACTGCAGCAAATGTTAGTTAGAATATTGTTTCCAAGGAAGCAAACTAAACCCTGAGTAAAACCGAACTTAATGAGGGTGCAACCTTTAAATAAAGTAAAAAAAAACCCCAGCTCAATGGCATAGTTATCTGATAAAAGACCTACTTGGCTAACCTCATCTTTTTCACCTTGTAACTTGATTATCTTGATTTTTTCAGTTTCTCATTGAAGTTCATCTTTTCTTCCAGTGGAATTACAAAATATCAACATTTAAAATTTATATTCATAGCTACTGTTTCTCTTCCCATTTAAAAAATCGGAACAAAATAAACTAATAAAGACAACATTAATGGGATTCACATTATTAGAAAACGTGCAAGCAAGGTTTTAAAAAGCGGCCGCAACCATTACGTAACACTGTTACGTAACGGTTGTGGTAGTTACCGCCACCCGTTACGGCCGCTTTTGCAGTGTGATTGAGATTCACAGGTGTATCGGTCGTAACGGCTGCTATAGCGGTCGTAATGGTGCCGTAACGGCCTGTTACGCACCGTTACGTAATGGTTTTAAATTGCTTCTTTCGAAAAAATACAAAAAAAAAAAAAAAAAAAGTTGAAAATGGAGGAAGAGAGATAGAGAGAGAAGAAGGAAGATGGAGGAACAAGAGATAGAGAGAGAGAATAGGGAAGATGGAGGAACAAGAGATAGAGAGAGAGAATAGGGAAGATGGAGGAACAAGAGATAGAGAGAGAGAATAGGGAAGATGGAGGAACAAGAGATAGAGAGAGAGAATAGGGAAGATGGAGGAACAAGAGATAGAGAGAGAGAATAGGGAAGATGGAGGAACAAGAGATAGAGAGAGAGAATAGGGAAGATGGAGGAACAAGAGATAGAGAGAGAGAATAGGGAAGATGGAGGAACAAGAGATAGAGAGAGAGAATAGGGAAGATGGAGGAACAAGAGATAGAGAGAGAGAATAGGGAAGATGGAGGAACAAGAGATAGAGAGAGAGAATAGGGAAGATGGAGGAACAAGAGATAGAGAGAGAGAATAGGGAAGTGAAATATATTGGATCAAACTTAAAAATTTATAAAAATTAATCAATATTTATTTTAAAATCCAATAAATATGATCATGGAAAAAAAATGTGCGTATCGGTAAGTTTTTTTCAAATTGTGCGAAAAATAAAAAAATTTACGGTTCCGGTTACCGCAACCGTTTCGCTACGGCCTTTACACCCCGCAACCGCAACCGCGTCACCGCCACCGTTACGGCAACCGCAACCGCTTTTCAGAACCTTGCGTGCAAGGCTCTTTCAGCAAGACTGATTAACGTGTTATTTTTGTTGAAAGATAAAGTAAGTGTTGAAGTATCATGATGTTTTGTTGTTTTAGAGCATGTACGAAGCGAAGACCTCTGTAAAGCATTTTACCTGGGGGATTGATTTTTTGAATGGCTTGATCTCCTAATTTTAGTCGGGTTTCTTAAAATTGTTGGCAAAGAATAAAGATTTGAATGACAAGTTTGCACAAAAAGATAATGTGAGAAAGATACCCTTATGCCCATGCAGGAGAGATGAGATAGTTAAGTAGCCTTATTTGGTTGTTGAAATCCACTTTACAATGATTCTTTGCTCTAGGGACTGTAGGTATTACAAGTCCTTTTTTAATTTTTTTATTGTTTTTCTTTCTATGTTGTTGCTGGTGGAAGGGTGTCAGTGTGTCACCCTGATTATGTGAAGCTGAGAAGGTGAAAATTATAAGTTTGGCAGTACTCAACTTTCCAGAATTTGATTGGAAAGACGAGATTTCTCCAGACTAATCCTACTTCTGCACCTGAAGCTCCTGTACAAGCACCGGCCCCAGAAATCACCTCGTCTGGTTCCAATGTGGCAACAGCTAATGCTCCTTCTGATACGTATGGTCAGGCTGCTTCCATTTTGGTTGCTGGTTCTAACCTTGAGCAGACCATTCAACAAATAATGGATATAGGTGGTGGCAACTGGGACAAAGAAATAGTTACCCGTGCACTTCGAGCTGCTTACAACAATCCAGAGCGAGCTGTGGATTACTTGTATTCAGTATGTCCTTAAAATTTTCAATGGCATTCTATTCTGGCATTTGGACACTTTCCATTAATTTGTTAAAATCTGGTAGGTTCTTAAATTTTTCGATGACATTCTTTAGTGACATTTGGCCACTGCCCACAATTTTTGGTTCAATTTTTCAGGGTATTCCAGAAGCAGCGGAAGTTGCAGTGCCAGTGGCTCATTTGCCTGTGAATCAGGCAACTTCTGAGGGGGCTGAAACACGTTCAGCAGCAGCTGCACCCATCTCTGGAGCACCTAATTCATCTCCGTTGAATTTGTTTCCTCAGGTCCAACATTCTTATAATTGAGTTCAACCTGCATTTCTTTTCCTTCTATATCTTTCTTATATTGTTTAAACTGAAATATCAGGAAACAATTTCTGGTGGTGATGGTGGTGGTGGACTTGGTCCCCTTGATTTCCTTAGAAACAGCCAACAGGTTCGGTTCCTATTTTATTATTTGATGCCATTCCTTGAGTTAAGAATCTTGTAATGATAGGAGTCTGGTCTTAACGTTTTGTATTGTGAATAATTAAGTAGTTTTGTAGTGAATTACTATGAGATGAGATGAAACTAGATCATATAGATTTGTATTATTGCTATGTTTATTGAATTTCCAATTACACTGAATTTATTGTCTCTCTGTTTTCTCTTTTCAGTTCCAAGCATTGCGATCAATGGTGCAAGCAAATCCACAGATTTTACAGGTTCATATCCATTCTTTTCTTATTCAGATAATATGACATTAAAATAAATAAAAAAAAAAGGAGTTATATGCTGTTTCTTTGGTAACAGCCCATGCTTCAGGAGCTCGGAAAGCAAAACCCCCAACTTTTAAGACTTATTCAGGAGCACAATGCAGAGTTTCTTCAGTTGATAAATGAGCCTGTTGAAGGTTCTGAAGAGTGAGTATTTGTGGGCATCTTTGTACTGAACTTATTTCTCCATGAAGGACACAACTGGAAACACTTTGTTGACAAATTTTAACCTTCTAATTGTCTTACTTAGTTGATTGTCTTTTACTTTTCTGAGAAGCCTGGAACATGCCATTTAAATAGGGTTGCCTTGAAGATGCATCTACACTAGTTGAGAATGGAAACATATTCATATAATTTGTCTGCGTTATTGGCCACTAAATTAAAACCTTTTTGTTTCTACCTAAGAAGCATGGACACTTCTATAAAGGTGTTAGTGTCCATGTTGGACAGATCGGATCGGATATTGAGACTTACTGGACATGCATACAAAAAGATGTCCTGTTTTTTAAATTATTTGTACGAACAAAGACTCTTCTCTTATGTTTCACACCGGCACTTCAAAACAAGTTCCGTAGCCATGTCGGACGTAGGGACACAGTGGGGACATACCACGTGGTGTGCTCCTTATTTAATTATTTTTTTTTCAAGGGACACTCCGGGGACACGGCAACTAGTTTTTTTTTTTTTTTTGTCCCTCCCTCCCTCCCTCCCTCCCTCTTCTTTAGTGCTTTTGATGGATATTGAATGTCTATACTTTTTGTTTAGATTTAAATACATAATAGATCATTCATGAAAAAGATATAAAAAATAGCTGTTAATTTAAAAGTATATATATTTAATAATAATTTTGAATTAGTTTTATCTTTTGTTATTTTTGATTGTTTATGAATGTAATATTGATCTACATAGAAAATGAAAATATATGAAAAAATATTTTGATGCTGATTCCACGATGTGTCTGTGTCCCCATTTTTTTTAAATCACCATGTCTTGTCTCCATGTCCGTGTTCATGTCTGCATCTGTGTCTGTGTTCTCTTTGGACACTTGGAGACACACATGTTCATTATTAAACATACATAAAACACATTACAAGTTTGAAGAAAATAATTTGGGAACCAGTTATTAAAATCGAAACAATGTGGATTTGTACATATTAATCATCCGTCGTTTAGGAAAAGCTAGAAATTTCAAATTTGTGAATAGAGTTTTTAAAATAGATATTAAGACTTCTTATTAATACTAATTTTCCAATGTATAGAATGTGGTACAAGATTACTTGCTATTTTAATATAATAAAATATAGGGAGTGGCTATTGTCACAAAGCAATTTTATGGATCCATGAATATAACTATCTGATTCCCAAATTGCCCCTTGTGATTCATGGAGTTCACATTTAATACCATTTCTTTTTACAACCCATCTGCCCCCTATCTCTCTCTCCCCTCTAACCCTCAACTATTACCAGAAAATTCCAAATTTGACAGATTATGAAGGATACCATTCACCATCAAGCAGATCACGATCTACGATTGTCTCGACTCCTCCGTCCTCATCTCCTTCATACCCTTCCACAAGGCCGAGTACGTTGCTGATATGAACTTCTTCCTCGGAGTCGTGGCAGAAATGGCTTCAATGTCATCATCTGCCCAAGATTGCCCTTGAGTTCCTGTCTCAGTATTACCCTATCTACTTGAGTCGAACCATTACCATGTTTCGGAGCAATCAAGTGTGATTGTCCGGTTCACATGAGACTCATTTCTCAAACAATTATAACTGCAACTATTATTTGGAGTCTCACTATTAAGTTCATCACCAAATTCATCAATACAATACCATGGCCATATCAAGTCTTGTTGTAATTACACCATAACCTATGCTTTAGGTATGCCACCGCCACCATTAAAACAGAATGTTTAAAGAAAAAATTGAAGCCTTGAAAGAAAAATAGAGGGCTAAAGATTTTTGCATAAATTTTAGGGAAATGATTTACAGGAACTTCAGTGTGAAATAAGTTTAGGTAGAGAAATTGGGTATGGATTACGGATCTCATAATAAATTCACACTTACTTTCCGAAACCCATTTAATTTTCCTACATCATAAGGGCCAAAATACATGAAGCATCCCTGATCGGCTGTGTTTAATGGCAATCCAATAGACATAGTGTACATCCAATCTCATATAATCCTCTTTTAGACTAGATAGAATACTGCCTTCAGATTGGAGTGGAGTAGAACCAAATCAAGCAGGAGGAGCCTGGGAGAGAGAGACACAGTTTGAAGAGAGAGAGAAGAGATATGTATCCATTGAGATATGAAAGACTTGTAAAGAAAAAAGAAACAGAAGAAGACAAAATGAGAGAGAGTTGAATAGATGGATAAGTGAGAGGCTGCTATAATGTCCATTTTAAAGTTCAAATTTAAAACTAATCAGTGATTATCTAGACACATGGAACATTGTTATGAAGACACCTCAACAACTGGGTGCAACCACATTTTCACCGACAGTAGCAAAACCGAGCTTGGGTTAGGTGGTAATGGTTGTGAACCCCACTGGCATGCAAAGGTTTTGACCCGTGTTACTAGAAAACCCTAATACCCTAGTGAATTACGTATTGGTACATACGTTCCAAAACATGGTACACTTCCGTTCCAAAACAGTAAATTCAAAGATCCGAAATGATCCCAAAAGTTTTTCCCAATATATTTCCTTAAACGATTTCTTGGGAAGGAAAAAAATCAAATATAATGAACTAAAATCTAAGGTGAATTAAGTTTTGACAAGACTATAAAAAAATGGATCACAATGCTCATGGAAATGTTTTTCTACATAAAAAAGAAAAATTAAAGTCTAATAGTTTAAAAAAAATTACTGTGGAAGTACCTTAAATTCGTAAGTGTGATATATACAAGTCTATTCTTATCGTACCACATTTCAGAGTATGTTGCGTACCACGTTCCCGTTTCCATTTCTCGTACCGAAACGATCCACGTTTCAGGTAACATAGGTTTTGACTTTTAAGTAAGGAAGGATATTTGGGAATTAAATGAACATATGCATGGAATCGTATTCTTTTTTCCAGCTGGTGGCTGTATGGACTAGAGCATTTGCCAAAACAGGTTCATTTTGGTAGCTATATGCTCCGGCTTGGGAGGAGAAATAATTTAAATTTATTTGTTGTTAGTATCCAAGAAAAAGTGTTTCTAGTTTGCATGGTCCAATCATTGATCCTGAAAATTTTACAATAAATTGGGTAGGTCACTAGTATTAGTATAGTTCCCCGGCCTATTAAGCACAGCTAAGCTAATTGTGTTTGGAATATCCTGTTGAGTGGGTTTGATGCTTAGCATTATATTTATTCATGGCATTAACCCCTCTCAACATATAATTGTATTTGTAAAGAAAAAAAAAAAGTAGTTATTATTAATTTTGTGTATATATAAACGACAGTGCTGAGGACCCCAGTGGGGGGTTACCCCCAGCACCCCCACCTCCACGTGCGGGCTGTGAGAGCAAGACAAAAAAAAAAAAAAATTTGAGCCAATTGAAAAACAGTGGGGGCGGTGGGGGTCACCCCCACTGGGGGTTTAACTCATTTTTCATATATAAAATATATTTTTATTTCTTACCATGTCCCTACCCCACAGTGTGCCCTGAATTTCAAAAGATTGTTGTATTGGCATATGTTTGTATCTTAGAGTATCCACATCCTGTGTGATGTATCCGTGCTGCTTCAGGTTTCACTCCTAAGTTACCTGAGCTTTTAATCACGTGGGACCAGATTGACATATATTTTTAGGCTTGCAAACTAGGAATTTAAGACATTGTCCTTTTTGCTGATTGTGTTGACATAAACTACTTTCTTTCAGGGATTTATTTGATCAGCCTGAGCAGGACATGCCTCATGCTATTAGTGTCACACCAGCAGAGCAAGAGGCCATAGAACGAGTATGGTTCATTTCCTTGCTATTTTAGTTTTCATTTATATTTTATTTGTTCTATTGTAGTGATTAGTTTTCTTTTTTAGCTTGAGGCAATGGGATTTGATAGAGCCCTTGTCATTGAGGCATTTTTGGCCTGTGACCGCAACGAAGAATTGGCAGTGAATTACCTATTGGAGAATGCTGGGGACTATGAGGATTGAATGGTACACCTTAACCTGCAACTTTCTAATTGTCACATGTTCGCTTAGCATCTTTATTAAATATTCCAATAGCTTGTCAAAACTGTTCTATTATTCTTAATGGTGCATTGGGGGTTCAAATGTGGCCAGTTATGGACTAGGAGCTGTTGTATTACTTTGAGTTGCTGGGTTGAGTCATCTAGGTTTGTTGAAAAAAAGGTTGAAACACCCAAGACTTACTAAATGTAGCTGCTCTCACATGATTATGTTTGGAGGGGTTCATTTAATGCTGTCTCTTTGTGGATCAAGGGGAAGGCAGGTCTGCGTGAGATGAGGGACGCTGCGCTGGGAGATGGATAAGCTAATCCTATTCACGTAGAAACTTGGAACATAGGACCATTAACTGGGAAAAAGTATCGTAGTAGTAGAGACTATGATTACCAAATTAGAAAGATAATTAATCTTATTTAAACCAAACTAAACCAAACCAAGCCTTAAGTCCCATCAAACAATTAATCTTATTTGTTTACAAAAAACTAAATGGGTATGTGAAAAATCTAGGAAAATTGAAAGAACAAAATATAAAGGATAATTGTAGAAGAAAAACATAGGAATGAAGTAAGGATAATTGTAGATAAAAGTTTAAAAGAAGAGATGGTAGATGTTAAAATAAAAGGAGATAGAATAATATTAGTGAAATTAATGTTAGGACAAGAGACACTAAATATAATTAGTGCTTTGTACACCCCAAATAGGATTAGATGAATCTATTAAACTAAAATTTGGGAGAATTTAGATGGATTAGTACAATGGATACCAGCCTGGGGGAGATGTGGTGGGGGATATGAGAGAGTTAATGTGGGTTTTGGATTCGGAGAGGGAAATGATTAGGATAGTGTTATACTAGAGTTTCAATTATATATGATTTTGTAATATTAGAACACATGCTTTAAGAAGCGGGATGAACACTTGTTAACATTGAAGTGGAACCAATATTAGGCAAATAGATTTCTTTTTACTTGCAGAGTTTATAAAGGTACGCGCAAGGATTGTAAAGTAATGGTTAGAGAGAGCCACAACAGAGATTAATGGTATTAGATGTTTGCATTATGAGATAAAAGAGGAAGAGTAGGGGAAGTAAGCACCCATTAATTTGATGGAGAAATATATAAGGTGAAAATTTTGCTCTCTTTAGAAATAAAATGATTATGAAAGGAAAATAGACTCAAATGAGGGAACTAATTGTATGTGGTTTGAGATGATCAGTTGTATCAAGAAAGTAGCAAAATAGGTTCTTTGTGAAAGTAAGAGAAGTGAGTAACCGCATAAAGAACTTGGTGGTCGAACGAAAAGATTCAGAAAGTAATCAAAACAAAAAGAGATTGTTACGGAACTTTCTATATATGTAGGAATAACAAAAATTTTGGAAAATATAAAGTACCTAAAATCGAAGTTAAGCAATTGGGGACATTAAATTAAGGGTAAACTACCAATAGGCCCTAATAGTTGGACTTAATTCCCATCAAGTCCTATTGAAAATAAATCTTAATAAAATTGTCGTTAAAAATAATTTTTTGTGACAATTTTTTACATACGTCGCTAAAAATTAACAATTAGAGACTTTTTTTTTGTCATGATTTTTTTAAATTGTTGCTAAAACTTACAAGTAGTGACTTTTTTTATGACAATTTTTTCTTACAGGATCTATTAGACAATAAGTTCAGTTATTAGGACCTACACGTAAGTACCCCTTAAATTAAAGGCTTATGATGATCTTTATCTTAAATTAGATTTGAAGGATGGAGAAAAAGATATATATAAACTTCCCAAGATAAGATAAAGAAGAGGTAGAGACCTAAACTACATATAGTGTAGAAATGGGCAACATGAAAGAGGGCTAGTTGAAGAAGATGAGATCAAGGAATGGTGGACGAGTATTTTTAAAAAAGTTATTTAATGAAAGACACTCAAGAAACTCGAGTTTAGGAGAACTCATAGAATCAATGATCCGGATTGTAGGATTATATGATCCGACAAACAAAAAATTCAAAATTGATCTATATATCGCATTAAAAATCATGGCAAAGTAGTATTGTTAGAATCATAGGATCGTTAATAGAGTTGTACAATTGTACGTTCCTTCTTTTCAAATTGTTGTTATTTTTTATTGATCTTTCCAATTTGTAACTCCTTTAGCTCAAATATCAATAATAAATAAAATTAGTAAATGTCCTGAATCAGTCAACTAGCTTTTGGTTTTCATGTAGATTTTGCTCAAAATCCTTTATAGTTGAGAAGGTGACTTTTAAGGACAAATTTGTGTTGAGTGGTCCAAAAAGGTGTCTTCTATGTTTTAAGATTTATTATCGAATTCTATTTACATTATTCTGATTTATGGCTTTGATGGCAATTGAAATAGAGCATATGACCAAAAAGTTTCTCAGCATACTTTCCCACTCTTAAGCTTTATAATTCTCCAATTACAAGGTTGGTATGAGAGCTCTATCATTTGAGTCCTCAAGTTTATTTGGACCAATGTGTGAATGTCTATAATTTCATTTCGTTTTTCATGATATTTTTAATTCAATTTTTGTATAATTTAATTCCATTCTCTATGTATTTTGAAGTATTCATTAATCATATAAAAATTATTAGACTTATTCTTCCTTTTGGTAGGATCTTACAATCCTCGATTTGATTTGGTGGACCCCCAAAACGATCCAGTATAAGATCCCAGTTATAACAACCTTTAGAGAACTGGATAACTCCAGTACTAATATTAATTTGGGAAAATGGGTTGTAAATCCACCTTGCAAATTGCACAAGGAAATTAGTCCATGTGTAGATCTTTTGAGGCTATGTTGGAAACTCAAGATTCATGAGAAGCTTCACTTGGAATGTTTTAGAGGGAACTTACATTTATCTAGTTATTCAACAGTAAATGTCCAGAAGATATAGTACTTTTTCTTGTGAGTCCTCTGGACAATGGATTTCTCAAATTTTATATGTAAACACAGATACATGCTCACCTTAGCTTTTTTGTAAGTGTAATCGGCTTAGCTGACTTCATTGTACTCATTTTTATCTTGGTATGATTCAATTGCAATTGCTCATTAGGTTTCTTGTGACCTATGAAGCATGGGTGTGGGTACGGATACTGGTATGAGTATGCCGATACGGCAAGACCTAAAAAAAATAGGATATCGGTATGGCTGGGGTACGTCAATAAATTTTTTATAATTCATAGTTTGAGATTCAATCTACAAATTAAAGTCCAATACCAAAACTAAAAAGAGAAATTACAAAATCAAAAGAGAAATCATAGTTCAACAATACCAATACCAAAGCATTTAAACTCAGAGAAATTCTCCTTTCAGTGAGTCTCTCTCTCTCTATATATATGTGTGTGTGTGTGTGTGTGTGTGTGTGTGTGTGTTTTTGTTGTTGTCGTTGCTTGTTTGGGTGATCAATTTGTATATTGCACATCGTGATTGAGAAGACAGAGAAATTTTCTGGTTTGAACCCAGAGAAATTCTTGCGAAAACCAAAAAAATTCTTTGGAAATCCAGAGAAAATCTCTATACTAGAATCCTAAGAAATTCTCTGGAGAGAATTTTCTCTGAATCGATGTTGAGAGACCTTAGATATTATGAAAATATTAAATGTTCTTTATGCTATAAAATCTTAATATCAAGGACCCTAAAAAAAAATCCCCTACACTTTAAATCCAATTTTAATTTTTTTTTTCTATTTAAATTGAAAGTTAAAATTAACGATTTTAAAATACTTGTCAGCCTCTTACAGTGCACATAGAGAAAAAATAAATAGAAATTTGGACATAATGACCCAACTGAAATTGAATTTAAAGTATAGAGATTAAATTTTTTAATTTAAAACTATAAAGACCAAAATAAAATTTAGATCAAACTACATAAATTAAATTCAAATTTGCTTAGTTAGCAAGACACCAACTAGCTAGAACAAAACTCTGGGTACAACTTAAATTCAAAATCTCAAAACATATTCTTTCACCCAAAATACATTTAAATCCTTCAAAATGTTTCACTCTTAGATTCGTGCTTATTCCTTTTCTTTTTTTCCGGCTTCGTATTTCTTCCCTTTAAATGCATTAAACGTTTTATTGAATTAAAAATAGAATAATGTTTTAGAGCACTAAATTGAGAGCTCTAGAGCATCACTAATGATGTGGCACAGTGACCCCCACCAAAGTGATGTGATGTTTTGGCTTAGTTTTTTTTTTTTTTTTTTTTTTTTAAGCTCATTAGAGCTATTAGTGGTCCAAAAATTAGTGGGATGAATCACCACTCTTTTGGTTTTCGGTTGGTTCTTCACAAGGTAAGGTTCGTTTTGATTTTTAGAAATTTTACACCAATATTGATCAAACCCTTATTTATTTATTTTTTTATTAATAAAGGTTTTCCACATTTTTTATTTTTTGTTTTAGCATTACAAGTGATCCAATATATTTTGTAATAATAGCTAAGGGAGACATTTATAGAGCAATTTGTTTTGCATCCTATTTTGTCAAATTATTCTTGATGTGATATTTTATATATTTCTATAAACCACTTTATGCTGTGTTTGGTTGAGGGATTTGGAAAGGGAAATGGAAAAGGTAGGTGAAATGTGAAAAAAATATAGCTACATTTCACATAGTTTCACACACCTTTTCCCTTTCCCTTTCCAAATCCCCCAACCAAATACAGTATAAAGGTTTCCTTGGAATCCTTTCTTAACATTAAATCGAAGGATTTGGTTTCTCAATTGAAGCATGTGATTAATTTTGATTTCTTAACTAACAAAATCGAATAATTTGATATGGTCAAATTTTCTATTTTCTCTCAATCCGTCCAAATCAAATCAACTACAGCACACATGAAGAAATCTCGAGCATTTTGAAGTAAAACAACATTTTCTCTCACATGCTTTGGGAACAAATTTTGCTGTTTCTTTTGGGTTCAATGATTTGAGTTTGGTTAGCAATAAGCTTCAGATATAGGTTAGTAGTCACCATTTTTTTCAAAGTGAGGACATCAAGTACATTGCTCCTTTCCTTGTGAATTCTATTAAACGCCTGGCTGTTGGAAAATTATTTAGTGCTCCTAGGAAAGATAATATGCTGCTTCAATTTTGATTTTTATTGGTTGAAGCTTTGAAATATTGTTTAGTACTGCTGAGGGCAAGATGATGTGATGTGCTTCACCAAATGTATATGGCAATCTGTGCTTAAACAATCACGAATTTGTGGTGTTGAGCCAACATCACTAAGCCTGTGTTTCGAGGTCAAAGGGTTCATGCTTAATCACATGACTAGCAGCTAAGCCTGTGTTTGGAGGTCAAAGGGTTCAAGCTTAATCACATGACTAGCAGCTACTAGCACACCATTGTGTGTGCAATTCAAATAATAAGAAAAAATAAATTGGGTTTAAGCTTTGTATATTTTTTTGTGTAACTTTTTATTTTAATATATGACATGATGAAAAGTAAAGATTTCGGAATATCAACTAAAGCCTTTCCTTAATGTAATATAGGATAGATGTACCAAAAATATTAAATGTTGTATTATTTCCTCGTCAAAACTTCACTGTTACACTTATGTTGTGTTTGATTGGAAGATTTAGAGAGGGATTTGGAAAGGAAAAGGGAAAAGGTGCATGAAACTAAGTGAAATATAAGTATGTTCTATTTACATTTCACCTATCATTTTTATTTTTTTTTCTAAATCCCTCCTCAAATCCCCTAACCAAACACAGCATTAATATTCTTTTTTACAAACAAACTGAGCCTGGCTCATTGTTTATCAAACAAGAAAATCTAACTTAAGCTTGGCTCAATAATTAATCTAGTTTGGCTTGGGTTATTAACACTAATCAAACTCAAACTCGACTCATTAGAAAATATTTAAGCAGGCCAAAAACATAAATAAATATATTTATTCTATTTCATTTCATTTAAATACATGATAAAACGAGCTAAGCTCCACAAGCTTATCTTATTTGAGCTTGAGCTCAGCTCGTTTATTAAAATGAGCCTAAAAGTCTAGATCAAGCTCATTTGTAAACAACAAATCGAGCCAAACTAAAGCCTTAACGAGCCGACCTTGCCAACAGTTCAGCACATTTTCAACCCTAGGCTGGTCATAGCTTGCCAATCCATAACGTTATATGATTCCAGAAAAAAGCCAATAAATAGCATTAAGAGAGATGTAACTACTATAAAATAGAGACAAATAGTAGCCGTGTTGATCTGATCTTTTATTCTGTTAAAAACATCAACAATCTTGAATTTTCCACCAAGCATCAATGAAGCATAAGAAATCCCATTACCATATCAGGGTAAAGACAAGTAAAAGGAAAAACAAAGTGGGCTAACTGGCTTGTTTTTATTTTGACATGAAATTGGTCTTGAGAACTTTTCACACACGCGAAGTAACCATCATACATAACACACCAAGATCCAACTGTCTAGAAATTTCAGCACAAAATATACAAGCGTACTTTAATCCCGTAGGCATATTTAGAAGTTTCTAGAATGGCCGCTTAAGCATTTTTCAGAACTCCCTATCTGGGAAAAGATGAGGCGCAACGAGGGACCAGATGAACAAACCTGCGGTAGCCCATCCCGTAATGATTCGGACCCAGACAGACGGCCACCCCACATCAACCAACCGCCCATTCGCTCCCACAGAGGTTGACCACCCTGTGAGAAGCATTGCAGAGTACATGCTAGCAAGGGAGAAGATGATGTGGAAGAATGCATATGAATATGAGACGGGCTTAGCCCTTTCTTTCTCTTCCACCTCGTCTGCCTTGTCCAAGGGAAGTAAAGGCTTCCCAGCACCTTCACCAGGAAAACACAAACACGATGTCATTCAAAACGGGATTTGTCAATAAAAAATGAAATTTGCTTTTTGTCAACAAATGGGACATTAATGTGATAGTTGTCGTCCTCTAGTGGGTTCACCTCTGGATAGACTTCACTGCTGGATGTATTGTCAAATATTTGAACACTAAAAGAGCCCCAAAGAAACCGAGAAATTGAGAAGAGATTTCCAAAGAACTAGGAAACAGTAATTTTGAAAAAGACTGGTGAATCTTTAATTTTGTCAGCTCAAATCAAGGAATACCTCAAAAAGATTTCATACTTCATCTTAACATTAAACAACAATTCTCATAACATATTTTCGAAGTAAAATACTTAATTTCTTAATATATTTCAAAACACATATAACATATTAAACACCACGAAAAAGAAATGCACAGCAAAACACAGAAGACAGCTTAATCAATCAAGGTAGAGACACTCACGAGGTGAACTTGGTGGTGAAAGTAAGGTAGTAGAAGAACCAGCACGGACAGCAGAGTAGACAACTGATAGAACAGTTGTAAGCAGTCCGACAGTGAGTGTGCCAGTGGAAACAGCTTTAGAATGATTGTGAAGTCCATTGCACTCATACTCCCTTGGTTCACTGGCAAGTCCAGAGTAGGTGAGGTACACGCAGTACAAAGATATAACTGAAGCTGGCAAAATGCTGCCACTTACCTGTTTTACATCCATGAAAACTGTAAGTATCTATATATATACGGGCATATTATGTACTACAACCAAGTAATAAGCATAAATAAACAAAGAAAATAATAAACGAAATATGAAGCTAACTGGAAGGATTGTGTTAATCTAAGTGGGGAAAACTAGACAACTGCTCTACTTTGACTGATGGAATACCGTAGAGTTGTCATGATGAGAAGAGGTGGTAGGTGAGCTTAAGACGTACCAAAACAGCCTTGACAAAAATTTCCCACACCCAAGTTGCTCAGGTAACCATATGCCCAAACTAATTCCATGGAGCAGAATTAACAGATGATATTGCATATGTCCATGCATGAGCAAATATTATGTAGGTTGAGCCTTTTAACATTTCTAGATTAGCAAGGTTTGTCTACTTCGAACAGTTGAGCTAAAATTAAGGTGAAAGGCCTTTGCTCTAATTCAATCAATTGAAACAAGATCTGAGCATTAATTGAACCTCTTCCTCTTTTCAACAGTTCCTTCCATTTGTCCATAACATTATGCATTTGGATGCAAGAGATACAGAAAAATGCTTCTGACAAAAGAACACCTCCTCCATCAAACTCTTACCACTTTCTCTTTTGTGTGTTTTTATTGAAAAATTCCTGCCACTTCTGTTTGGGATGTTCACATCAGAAAGGGTTGTGCATGCATGAATTTGAGGATGTGTGGTTTAGAATACAACTTTAGCCAAATTTTATTAGCTTTAACCATTTCCATTTTCTAAGCCTTCATTACACAAAGTGAAACAATACAGGCCAATATTATTCCTGGCTAAAAATAAAATAAAAACCTATTTTATGAGCATATGTTGATTCATAAGCAAAAGAAATGTCATCAGCAATTCTTAACAATCAGATCAGTGCCAACCCAAAGACAGCTTAGATATACTATCATTTCAGCCTTACATGACAAATGATGGGGAAAATGCATTTCAGAACCACTTCCAGACAGTTTGGTTGAGTTTTCAGAAACTAGTTTGACAAAAATAAACACCAAAAAAAAAATAAAAAAAAATTCAAACTTATTTTTGCTCCAAAGAAGATAAACCATATGAAGATTATGATTGCTTTTTATTTTTTTAATTTTTTTTTACCAAACTAGTTTTTAGTTTTGAAAAAATAAAAGACAAACAAAAAACGGATTTTGAAAACTGAGCTAAATAGGGTGTTCATTTTCCATAATCATGAACACCATCCCATCAAACTCTAAACTGTTACATAGTTGGCATAATGGATCCTGTTCTCAGAATCCACTCAACATCATCCCATCAGATATTTTAGTCCATGAATACTGAATTTATGCAAATGTGGCAAAACAAACAAATAGATAAAACTGTTAGTAGCTGGCTATAAACATAGGAACAGAGGATTAGAAACTCACTACAGGGTGCAATGTGATAATGGAAAAAACAACCACCAAAAGCAGAGTCATAACAATGAAGAAGGTGTTCAGCCCACAGTCCTGCCCAGATGGGGTAAACAAGTAGAAGAGAACTCCAGAAAAGCAAAATGTTGCTATATAACAAACAAGTGAAACAACAAACAGAGCAATGTACCTGCATTGTTAAAGGAAAATATATGAAAAAAAAGTTAATACTAGAAGATAAAAATGTCAAAAATAATAGGTAACAAGCTAAAGTCCATTGCAGGGCCTTTTTTGAACATTTGAGGGTCATTGCAGGGAGTGACAATAGCTACAACTAACCAGAATTGTTCATCGTATTTAACCCATTTGTCATTCCATCCATGAACAAAATCCAACAAAAGCACAACTTGAACAAGAAGAAACATTCCTGAGCCGAACTTTGATGATGTCTCTGCATTTACAAACAGAACAGTAAGCTTAATTCCACTGACAAAGAAAGAAAACTTCAAATAAACGCTTTTAAAAAGAGGTAGAAAAACATTTCATAATCAAATCTTTTCTGCAGGGGATAAATTACCAAGATTTTCTAGAAGGTGAACAGCTTTATATGAATTGGGGAATGTTGGGGCCAAATCTAATTTATTCTCATAGCAAAGGAAATCCAAAACAAACACCTTCTAAATCATTCCTAGTCTTGGGCTCTCAACTGATTTCCATCTAGTTCTGTTATTGATCTCCAAGAGTCAATACTCTTCTTCATTATGAATGCTAGCTGACTGCTCGGATTGAGCAATGCCCACGTAACTTGGGGATGAATCCTGCTGACGGATCTAAAATACTACAAATACTCTTGCTGGCCCTACATATATATTTTTTAAAAAAGCAACATGAAATGAGTTTCAACACGATTTGATACGAGTTTCAACAAAAATGATTTGAATCATTTGCAAATTGAGTGAATCGTACGATTCAATTTACGATTCACATGATTCACAGCGATTCAGTTCTATTTCTATTTTTGTTACATAATGCATGAAACATCGTCGTTTTCACAAACTATGAAGATATATTTTCCGAAAAATACCCCCAACGGGCCGGACATGGTATTAAAAAATAAATCCACAATGATATTCAGGCCGGGGACGAGGAAACATGTTTCAGCCCCAGACCCGGCCCGACCCCGGCCTCGTTTTTTATATATATATATACTTTTTTGATTCAATGTTTCTCTCTCTCTCTCTCTCTCTCTCTCTCTCTCATCTTTTATTCATTTATATCTACTCTCTCTCTCTCTTCCTCACATCTCTTCCTCACAGTCTCTGATCTCTCTTTCTTCCTCACCGTTTCTCACCGCCGAATCAGACAGCGCCACCTCCTCCTCCTTCTCCTTCTCCTCCGAGCAAAGAGAGAGAGAGAGAGCGCACTGAACATTGTCGCCGAGCACCACCTTCTCCTCCTTCGAGCGTCACCTCCTTCTCCTCCGGCGTCTGTTCCCTCCGCCATGGTAGATCTGAGTAGATATTTCTCTCTCTACTCAAATCTCTCTCCGTCTCTGTGAATCTGTGATGTTGATGATGTCGTTTGATGATGTTGTTGAATGGTTGTTGCCGCTGCTATTTGGGTTTGTTTTTTTGTTTTTTTTTGGTCCGGGGAATTTTCAGAGTCGGGGAAACCTAATCCCCCGTTAAGGGGCCGGGACGGGGATGGGGACGGGGACGGTGATAGGTCCCCTGTTAGGGATCAGGGCCAGGGCTGAGGAAGGGAAAATTTCTACCATCGGGTATCGGGGACAGGGAGTGTGATCCTCGGCCCCGCCCCATTGCCATTCCTAGGTGAAATATGAATAAAATGTACAGGATTTTCAAGGAAATAAGGAGACTTATTTGCCTCTGGCCAAGTTTGTATACAACAATAACGACAAACCCAAATAAGAAACCAGCAAAACTGACATCCTACACCCCAAGACAATAGCTAAAACCGGTAACCGCTTGACCTCCTCAACTGGAATAAGCTCTAACTTCTGCAAATTAACCCGGAGGCCCGATACTGCCTCAAAATATAACAAAACACACCGCAAATGACCCACCTGCTCCACATCAGTCCCGCAGAAAATCAGAGCTCATCCGCATATAATAAATGAGATACAACAAGACAACGATCCCACAGCCAAGCCCCCCAGGAAACCTCCACACACTGCTCTATCCGACAATCTACTCAACGCCTCCGTCACTAAAATAAATAACAAAGGTGACAACGGATCCCCCTGCCGAAGACCCCGATACGTCAGAAAAAACCCTGCTGGAGATCCATTAATCAAGACAGACATCTGCACAGTTAAAACACAAAACTTAATCCAACGGCACCAAGTATCCCCAAAACCCATCCGATCCAACATGTACAAGAGGAAATCCCAATTAACGTTGTCATATGCCTTTTCAATATCCAATTTGCAAATCAAACCGGGTCATTGTCGAATCCGAGAATCTACACTCTCATTGGCAACCAACACAACATCCAAAATCTGCCTGCCTCTTACAAATGCGCTCTGAGACTCAGACACCACAGCCTTTAAAACCCCTCTAAGTCTATTGGCTAAAACTTTAGCTAATATTTTATACACACTGCCTGACAAGCTAATAGGCCGAAAGTCACGAACATCCTCAGCCCCCTCTTTCTTTAGGATTAAAGCCAAAAAAGTCGCATTAAAACTTTTTTCAATTTGGCCAGATAGGTAGAAAGCCTCTAAAGTTGCCATCACATCACCCTTAACCACACTCCAACAATGCTGAGAAAAAGCCAATGAGAAGCCATCTAGACTTGGAGCTTTGTCACCACTCATGGCCTGCAAAGCCCCAAACACCTCATCCTCCGTAAAAGCACACACCAAACGCTCCTTATCCTCCTCCGAAATCATATCAAACTGAACCCCATCCAAGCGTGGCCGCCACTTCCCCTCTTGTTGCCGAAACAATTTTTGATAGAAACCCACAATCCCTTCCCGAATCTCCGGATCCGCGCAAAGCTGTCGGCCATCCACCAACATCCGAGTAATTTGATTAACCCGCCGATGTGCATTGGCCATCCAATGAAAAAATTTCGTATTTCGATCCCGATCCTTCAACCACAAACATCTAGGTTTTTGTCTAAAAGACACCTCCATACGAGAAATACAAACAAAATCCTGTCTAGCCGCCTCCTTCCGAGCACGATCAGCAGTGGACAAACCCCCTTGCGCCTCTAACTCATCAAGAGCTCGGAGTGAAGACACCACCTCCGCTTTTTGACCCCCCTAATCGGCGAAACACCTCCTTATTCCAAATCTTCAAATCTCCCTTGAGCAATTTCAATTTATGGGCCAGCACACTACTGGGAGAACCAGAAATGACATAACTACTCCATCAACAGCGCATCACATCCAAAAAACTCTCTGTTTGCAGCCACATATTCTCAAACCGAAATGGCATAAGACCACAACGAATCCCCCCACTATCAAGCACAATAGGCCAATGATCAGACACTGGATGAGGAAGACGTAACTAAACAGCCTCCGAAAAATGCTCCTCCTATCCCCCAGTCACAATAAAATGATCAATACGAGACATCCTCCGCCCATTTGACCAAGTGAGGTTGCCTTCCTGAATAGGTAAGTCAACCAACTGCAAAGTATCAATTAAAGAACAAAAAGACCTCATGGACATTGAGACCCAATTGGTCCCCGACCTCTCTGATGGCCATCTAATAACATTAAAATCTCCCCCGACACACCACGGAACATCCCATCGAAACGCCATACTCTCCAATTCCTCCAGAAACCCTCCCCGCTCCGAATGCTGCACCGGACCATACACCCCAGTGAAGGCCCACCGAAAACCATCCTCCACACATCAAAACAAACAGGACACCGAAAAACCCCCACCTCCTCCTCCTCTCTCACCACCACCCTCTTATCCCAGCAAAAAAGAACCCCCCTTGCCGTCCCAAAAGACGGCAAAAATGCCCATTCCACAAACTGCCCCCCCCATACCTCCCGAATCAACTCCAGTCCCAACTTCTCCATATTTGTTTCTTGTAGACACACTACATCCACCTTGGCGCCACGCAACACAGCCTTCACTGCCACCCTTTTATCCTTATTATGCAAGCCCCGCACATTCTAAGATAAAATTTTTAGCTTCATTCCAACAACAGTGGTCCACCACGCTCTCTTCTAGCTCTCTGTCCAACATTCTGCCTCCCATGATCATAATTAACAGTACACTCCAAATTCTTGAGCTCTCAGTGCCTTTTACAGAGGGAAACAAACGATGTACCCACTCCCAGACTAGGAGCCCCTTGCCACTAAGATGCTTCTACTGGTACGAATAATCGCATAGCCTCCTCTTCATGGCCCTCAAATGACAAACCCAGACAGCTACTAACTTCCCCAATGCGCTCCAACACCCAATTCAACACTGCCTCCAAAGATGGAACCTCCGGCCCATCCAATCCACTGTTGTTCTGGACCATGTTTTGATGTTGTCCTAGCAAATCTTTTGACCCACCTCCCTCTGTAGCAAGGGGTTGGAGTACCAAAGCCAGCCCATCAGTACTGGGAAGCTCACTCTATTCAACACAATCTGCCTAAGAAACACCCTCAAGCGCCGCTATAGCTGGATCGACCTCACCATCTTCAGCTTTCGAGCTCGCCGCTTGAGAACTAAGTCCACCCTCCTCCGCCAGCCGCCGCGACCCTAGATCGTCACCAACGGATTCACAATGGGCCACCAACACCTTGCCCAACTGCGTGTCAGATGAGCGACGTTGTGTATCGACAATGATCATCTCCACCCAATTCGGCTCTCCTGGATTCGCCGCTGCCATATCAACACATCCATTTCTCGTGACAACCTTTGGGCATAAGTGACGAATTGAAGAACTCGCCCCATTAGTCTCACAGGCCCAACCTTGAACTCCGTTATTCTTTGCCACAACCCAAGTTTTGCGGCCCACAGTTGTATGCACAGCGACTTGGGCCTGCACCAAGCCCAATTGACCCCTTTGAGGCTTCCGTGGTTGACCCACACCATGACCCACTAGATTCGAATGACCACGCTCCAACACAAATCTATTCAGATACTCCTCCCTTCCCCAAATCCCTGGAACTTCGTGACCTAACTGCGACAAATCCGCCCTTGCCTTATCCGACCCAAATCCCCCTGTAATTTCGACCGTCGGCGACCGCAGCTCTACGAGCAAGTCTTCCTCCACCCATACCGGCAGCGAGAACTGCCACATCCCCCAACAAACGGAAACTCGCGACGGAGTATGGTCCGACCGCCGCACCCGTAATTGAATACCACCCAGATCCATCAAGGATTCATTCGCCTCCACAAAACCACCACACCAATCACCAATAGCACGATACACCTCTTCCCCACGGAGATGAACAGGAAGCCCCACCACCTGAATGCAGGCGTTTTCCTCCGGCAGCGGCAACTTCCCCGATGTACTCACAGCCAATGGTGACCACCATTCCAACAAAAGATCAAGGCCACCCATTGTCCACCGTCGACACACCGTCGCCTCCGCCTCACTTCTATTTGGGAAGACAAACAAGAAAGCCTTCTCCGCCAACGGTCTAACCTCTACCGGTCCCACTTGGCTCCACCACCGGCCTACCTAGTCTGATATAGCCGCAAAGCTCATGCACTTACCACTTCGCCCCCCCACCTTGCCCACTAAAGCTATGTCCAACAACCAAAACCAATCAACCTCCACCTGAGTGTGAACCACCACTGCAATCTGACGATTGGTCGATGACGAAGTAGCAGAAATGGATGACAAGTGATTCGGAGCTCTAGGACGCAGTGTTGTCCCCTTAATCATTCCAAAGCTTTCAATGACCAACGCCATCCCATCCAGCCATTCCCAAAGACAGACACAGGAATAAAGATCTGGTTCCGCCGCTGACCGATCGTCACCACTATTTGAAACGACGACCCAGCCCCTTCCTCACCACGAACCCATATGGCTACAGAGCGATTACCCCCACTGAGGCGGCCTAGGAATTTCAAAATATCTGGTGCGACAAATGCGTTCTTCATTCTCACCGCAATCCATCTAGCTTTCGACCCAGTCAATACCACCGCCCTACAAAGCCCCTCCCCCCAGTCAACTATAGACAAATTGCATCGCCCATCCACGCTAAGCAGCGTCTCCTCAAACTCAAACGACCACCCGCCGAGAAAGAGGATCTGCTGGCGTGGGTCGACGACTTCTCAAATTGGGAGCATTGCATTAATATTAATCAAAACTTAAACATTGTAAAAATATACATATAAATATATAAAATTATATATTATATTAAATAAAATGAATTTTACAATTCACGATTCACTTGACAACAATGCATGTATATGTAATCTACTTATAAAGATCTTACACAACCGCTTATTTTCTTTTTAAAAAGAAACGTCTTTATTCTCTCTCTCTCTCTCTCTATATATATATATATATTTCCAAAAATCTGATTTGATCTTACAAATATAAATATAATGATATGTATGCATCTATAATGTGATTAAGCTGATTGAACATCAGATCTCGTTCATCTTCTCTATTATGATGTTGCTACAAAAATTGAGTTTGTAAAGAGATTTTTGGTTTTGGGTGTGGGATTACATGTGTGAACCTGTTACTAGTTCAAAGTCGTAGTTGGGGTCACAGTTGGGTTAGGGGTTAGGGGTCAGTTTCTTCCAAGTGAGACGAGGTTGGGAGATGACACAACATATCCCTCCTGCATCTCCTTTCATTAGATATTACTCTTTTCCTCTTTGTCCAATTAGATGGTCGAATTAGAGTATCTCCTCATCAAGATATACATAGCTTGAGGTGTTGCAACAACCTTCTTTTTCAATTATTTTTCTTCCTTGCATCTCTTCACAAACCCTAACTAATCTAACAATAAAGTGAATGAATTATAATTGAATTTTTTTTAATCAATAATCTCTTCAAAGGGATTCAATTTTGAGATATAAAATAGGAATTTAATAGAAAACGTGATCATTTTACCTACATCAATCTTGTCAAACTTTCGTAACTGCACAAAAACTAAGGTAGTGTTTGGAAGAGTTTTGAAAATATGATTTGAGAATAGAGTTGCATTTTGAGTTTGTATGTTTTGAAATTATGATTTGAGTTTAGAAAATTTGTTTGGTTATAAATTTGAAAAGAGTTTTGAATTGAGTAGAGAATTTTTGATGTGACATATGATATCTGATACAAAAACTTACAACTCATAACCAAACATACTACTCAAAAATCTATTAAAAGTTCATAAAAAAATTTTAAAAATTCCGAAATATTGTTTTATTAAAAATATATATAAAAAAAAAGTGCCAATTGCAAAAAAAAAAAAAAAAAAAAAAAATTGAAATTGCACTGTTCTGGTTGACCGGCCGAATGGACCAATTAAGCCAAATTTCAAAAAAAAAAAAAAAAAAAATCCCGCCTGACACATAATTTTCTACAGAGTTTTTTTTTTGTTGTGGAAATATAATTTGAAAGATGTATCCAAACATGACATTGGAATGCGGGGGTGGAATTATAGTTTGAAAATCTATCCAAACACAGCGTAGGATTCTATACACTTATTGGCCACTTTTATTTTAAAAAACAAGTTTCCATTTCATATATTTGATTGTTCTCCTTTACAAAGTCTTCTCTCTTTTTCTTTTTTTTTTAAAAAAAGTAGTAATAAAAATACACTAAAGGCAAAAAAAAAAAAAAACAAGAAAAAGAAAAAGAGAAGCGGTGCAACCCTGAAGCCTGCCAAATTTCAACCCAAATTGGAACGAACAGCAGCCACTATTAGAATTTCTCACTTGAACAGTGTATTGTGCTAGAAGACAAATTTCAACAAATAAGAAAGATACTATACTCCCTCGGTCTAATTTTATAAGTCTTATTTTTCACATTTTGAAGTCGCATTTATGTGTTGAAATTCCAAAATTCAGCAGGTTTAATCATCACTTGCGGATACTTGGTCCAATTTTATAAGTCTTATTTTTCACATTTTGTAGTCACATTTATGTGTTGATATTCCAAAATTCAAAATGTTTAATCATAACTTGAGTATTACTATTACCCATCTTCCATTTTATACCCCAAAAAATATTCAAATACAAGAATAGGGCATTTTTTTTTTTTATAATCTTTTATCAAAAAATGCTTTCCTTAAATGTGTGGATGGCAAAACATGCTGCAAATGGGATGGATGGAGTATCTACAATTCATCAAATATTCATGATATGCAAATGAGCGCATAATACTATGACTATGAGATTAATAAAAAGAATAAGATCTCAAAAGAAAACTATTGTCATCAGAGAAGCAATAACAAGCATAGAAGAAGCCAATCAGAAGTAATCTATAGATCCTCTAATCAAGAAAATGGCTTACCGTAGAAGCTGATAATCTCATTTGGTAGGAAAAACATAAATATTACTAAAAGGCACCAGCAAATAATTTTCATCATCCATCCACCATGATGCAAACCATCACGAGGATCCTTCTGGCTTTTCACACCAACCATTAGAAGAGCTAGGATAGTGAAAAATAGGAAGTTCCCCAAGCTAACCCGCAGCACTGCATCTGTTTCAAACCACTCCCTATCTGGTGTTTGGCTAAAATGATTAATCCCTGGATAATTAATCAAATATGATATCAGCTTTATCATTAACCACTTATAATCAATTCACATACAAAAAGCACATAAGTTTATCAAAACTTCAAAAGGGTTAAAAAAAATATATTTGGATTAAATTAACACTTGGGAACCACAAAAATTACAATATATCTAGCCCATATGACTAATAAAGAGCTGTACTTTTTTCATTTTCTTTAATAATATCATTTGTTGTTGATTAAAAAAATATGTCGCACAAAGACTTCATCGTAGGAGAGGACAGCTCAAGTCCAGGTCTCAAAAACATCAATGTGATACATTAATGAAAAACACTTTCCACTTTTGGAAAAACATAATCTTGTTTAAGAAATACCCCAACACTGATTGGGAGCATAAAATAACACCCCTATTTTGCAGCAATATGTGCATTTTCTTTGCACAAATCATTAATGATGTGTTTGGATGGGGAATTTGGGAAGGGATTTAGAAAGGGAAAGGAAAAAGATATATTTTATGTACCTTTTCCCTTTCCCTTTCCCTTCCCAAATCCCTCAAACAAGCACAACGTAAGTGATTGGTCATAGAACCATCATAGATTTTGTGGAAAAATTGCAATTCAGTGCATATTTCCAAAAATAAATAAAAATTTCAAATCAGTATTAAACTTTCTCAACTTTAATAACTTTAATAATTAAAGTTATAAATTTTTTCATGAATTTGTAAATATTTGGTGAAGGCACCATTTGTAATTTTCCCCAGATTCATTAGAGGAAGAGCAGCAAAACCAAACATGTGATTATCATAAGACATTGTTATACACAGTTAATACTACCTAATAATCAAACTTTGGGTCATATTTATATCAAATTGTGATGACTAAAGATAATTTTTTTTTTTTTTCAAAAAAAAAAAAACCCATAATTTTTTAGAATCACAGCTACACATACACAAACAATTACACAGAAATAATGAAAACAAGAAATTCGAAGCTGCTTACAGGGAATCTTCTCCATCAGAGGTGCAGCAACCTCCCTAAGAATCCACGATACGATCAGAGAAAGTGCAAAGAGACCGCAATACGCAATCCGAGCGGACCGCCGGCTAATCCCCGAGACCACCGTCCGGCAAGCATCGCACGCGCATGCCGCGCAGCACGATGCGAGGCAAGAAGCCGCAAACATGTTCTTCAACAATCAATTACCCAAAATGACACTTTTTTTGTGAAACCCTAAATCAGATAATTAAACATCATCATCATCATCACCTTGAATTGCGATGAATTTCATCATCAAATCGTCATTAAATTGATAATTTATTCGATTATGCTTTGGAAAACCCTAATTGTGAAAGAATTAGAGCATTAAAGAAAACAGAGAGTTGCTATGTATATATAGTGTACCTGAAGCGATTGATGTAGCAGAAAACACACGATAATCGATTGAAAGTTGAACGAAGAATATCAGAGAGAGAGAGAGAGAGAGAGAGAGAGGGAGAATAGCTTTGCAGTCAAGCGTTGAACACGCGATTGTCTTATATCTTCACCAGTGGGTGGCAAATAGGTAGGAATAAAAAAATATAATAATGAAATTAGTATCATAATGTAATTAGCTTAAGTGGTATGAGTCATCGTACTTAAATTGCCTATCTCTTTGTTTAACTTTTTTTTAAAAAATAAAAAATACTGTCATATGGCATGAGGAGAGTAAAGTTTCAGGACACCAAAGTTTCTGTTCACTTTATAATAGTATAGATAGAAGAAGATGAGACTGAGGGTATGAGAGTAATAACGCTAACAGCAGCAGGGTGTTGGCATTTTTGCCTATGTTCCAGTGGGTTCTATCAATTCCAAGCTTCCAAGAACAGACCAATTCAGGTGAGAACAATCTACTTTTTTGGCATTTACTTGGCAGTTGCCATACTATTTTTATGATTTTCAACACTCAAAGTTATATTGGTACTTGTTATATTTTTGTCATTATGTGATTTTGGTTTTTTATAATTTTAATTATTTTAATTTTTATCTTGAATTTATGATATTATCTTAATTTAATCTAATTGATTATAAATATTAGTGTGTTTTTTTATATATATACAAATAAGCTGGCATGTGCTATGATTTTATAAGTAAAATTATAAATTTGTTCAATTCAATAACTTAATTTCAAGAGTAATGCTAGAAACCTCACAAGTTTTACTAAATTTTCTACCAAATATCTCACATGGATGTGAAATTTATATTACGTGGTCGATATTTGGTAGAAAAATTTAATAAAACTTTTGGAATTTCTAATATTTTTCTAATTCCATTCAAACCAACCCTATGACAATTTTTCTTCAAAAATCTTAATTAATGTTATCAATTAGACCAAAATAAGGGAAAATTATCAGAAAGTCCTATGTACCAAACTGTTACTCTTTATGGTCCTAAATTTAATCTTTTTTATTGACAAGTCCTATTTCTAAATCCTCTCAAGGAGAAACATAAGGCACCAAAGGGGAAAGGATTAGAAGGCAATAACATAATCAATAACAAAGAGTTCATTGATAATCACGCTTCCGTTTAACCGTTCATCAATGGATTCAGGTATGTCATTTTGTCTTGATTTCTTGATAATACACATGGTAAATGATCCAAAGTGTAAGGTTTATGTTCTGAAATTTATGTTTACAATATTTTCATTTTCCATGTTTTCAGTTTTTTATGTTTCAAAAATAAAAATAATTTAAATACTCGTTTCTTTTATATTATTTTTTCTTTCTATATGAAAAATTGTAGTGAAAATTGAAGGTTTAAAATTTTTCCTATAAAATGTGGTGTTTTTAGAAAAATACAAATAAATAAATAATTTGTCGAAGAAATCATCCGTTCCTTTATGTTTTGTATTCTGTACTTAAAAAGTGTACAAAGCAAAAATGATATATGTATATATTATTATTATTATTATTATTATTATACAAATGAAACACCCCAATTACCCCAATTTGTTGTTTTTTTTCTAAGTTGGTCAAGTATTAATTTTTCTAAAAAAATCAGTTACTTATATATTTTGATTTCATATTGTTCAACCAAGAAGGAATAAAGTACAGATTTTGATAATATGTCACTTTTGGAGGGATTTAAATAGTGGAATAATTAAATAGAAAAATAATTAGTCAATGAGAGTAATAAAGAGTAATTTATAGAGAATCAAATAAATAAATAAAAATCATTTTTTTTATTTAATTCAAAGGAAATAAATAACAAGCAGAACGTCATACAAAACAGTACAAAGCATAAAGCCTTAAAAAGATGATCTAATTATATCTGTAACAAGCAGGTTTGCAATCTCACTAGGAGGATCATCAAGGATTAGTAGGGGTTCATGTTGATTCACACCCATTTTTATTTTTATTTTTTATTGACACCCATGTTTGCCAAACCATATATATTTTTATTTATTTATGAAAATAAATGAATTGATACTGTATCATAGTATGCCATCTCTTTGTGAAACCATTCAATATAAAACAATACTTGTTTTGTTTAAGGGTTAAATACACTGTATTTTACCCTAGATCCCACATTGCTTCATCATTTCTTTATTATAACAATTAATATCATATTCTTAGGATCAAATTGCAATTTCAACCTCTTGTTAGATTTTTTTTTTTTAATTTTTTTTTAAGAATGTTATATTATTTACACCACAAATATATATTTTAATCTAGAGAAAGGGATCCATCTAAAAAAAACACCTAGACCAAAAAGGAGGATGAGACTCAAAACGTAAGGTCTGATAAAAAGACAATTACCACTTGGACTATTTCTTAGAATTGGGGTTATTGCTGTGTCATAAGGCACAATAAGCTACTATAAAGCCTATTAAAGACATGTCTCGAGTCTTTTTCGATGATCCGAACCGTTCATATTGTAAGGTTCGTCAAGTAGATCAACTCTGTAAAAAAAAAAAAAGTAATTTTGACATTTGTAACCTTATAATAATAGCACATGTATTTTTTAAAAAATAAGCGGTTATCATGATTTTAATAATTTTTAAAAACAATAGGACTTAATCATGGGGTTTTGTGGCTCAAAAGTGGCTCAAAATGGCAAAACGACGTCGTTTTAGCCATTTTTATGTTGTTCTGTACTCAAAACGACGTCGTTTTGGCCATTTGAGCCACTTTTGAGCCACAAAATTTGAGCTACGTAGCATTGTCGTAAAAAAAATTAGTATGTTTGGAATGACTTTTTGACTTTTTATGAAAAGATGTGCAAAAAGTAAAGAAAAAAAAACCTTTGACTTTTGGTATGAATTGTTAGTTTTTTAATTTTTTTAGTGATTTTTTGACTTTTTTACTAAAAAAGTCACTTGCCAAACGAGACCTCAAAACCTAAGGTATAACAAAAAGACAATTACCACTTGGACTATTTCTTAGAATTGGGGTTATTGTGTTTCATAAGGCACAATAGGCTACTGTAAAGCCTATTAAGGACACGTCTCGAGTCTTTTTTGATGATCTGAACCATTCATATTGTAAAGTTCGTCGAGTAGATCATTCATGTAAAAAAAATAAGTAATTTTGACATTTGTAACCTTATAATAATAGCATATTTATTTTTCAAAAAATAAGCGGTCATCATGATTTTAATAATTTTTAAAAAATAATTAGGACTTAATCATGGAGTTATAGATGTCGAGTTAATTTTATTTTTTAAATAGATGATATACTTGACAAATCTTACAATATAACAGCTCATATCATCAAAATACACACGGTAAATATCTCTCCAAACCCTCACAGCAAGGTTATTGTGCCATAATGCAAGCAGCAACCCTCAACCCCCCTATTCCTTTGTCTCACCACTCGTTAGCTACAATTAGATAAGTTGATGGAAAAAGCATATCTATCAACCTCCAAAATTACATATGTGAGCAACACGAGTAGCCCGATAAATTATTATACGTATAATACATCCCCTAACGCTAACCATGAATCTAGTGGTGGTCTGTCTAAGCCAAGTGATCCAAAAACATATAAGAACTGGGACACTCGGTCTAAATGTTTAATTTTAATTTTTTTGGAGCAATAGTTTCAAATTTATTCTTTTTAGGTCATAAGAATAAAATAATTTTAAAAACCATATTACTGCTTTTTATATGTCTATTGCCCATCTGTTTACATATTACTTATCTATCTATGTTGTTAATTGTAGTTGATGACTTTTTTGATAGTAGTGTTTGACACTACAAGAAATATCTGTTTTGGAGGCGTTTTTTTAATGGCGTTTTTGAAAACGTCACTGTTTCAAATATTTAATGACATTTTGTAAACGTCACCTTTTCATTTAATCAAAATGGCGCCGTTTCATGAATAGAAGACGCTTCTAAACGCCTTCAAATGGTGTTGTCCCACGCGCTCTTTATCTCCGTCTTTTCAACCTTTATTTTGAATATAATAAGCTATTTTGATCTGATAAGCAAAAATGAAAATCTCGAGCTCTCTCTCTTTGCCCTGTCTAAGATCTTTCAAAATCGAAGTCAGAGCCATTTCGAAGATCTTACATCGGTGATTCATCAGAGCCATTTCGAAGTTCTCTCTCAAAATCGATTCAGATCGGTGAGCTCTACTGCTGTCTAAACCCTAATGATCTCAAAGATTCAGATCGGTGAATCGATTCAGATCGGTGAGCTTCACTGCTGTCTAAACCCTAATAATCTCAGGGATTCAGCTCGGTGATTCAGAGATTCAGCATGGTCTCAACGAAACAAATTGGTGATTCATCAGAGCCATTTCAAAGTTCTCTCTCGAAATCGAAATCGAAGTTCATCTCAGCGATTTAGATCGGTGAACTCCACTGTCTTTGTCTCTCTCTCTGTCTCTGTCTCTGTCTCTGTCTCTCTCTCAAGCTGAACTGATGGTGCAATGTCGATTTGGTTATTGAAATCAATCCTGTGAATTCTATGAATGGTTTTGATATTTGAATGTTGATGTCCTGTTGTTTCTTCTCACTGAACGTGCTAATTGTTTGTTGGTTCATATTTTGTTTCTGAAAATATTTCATTTTATGCTACTTTTGAATGGTTTTGATATCCTTTATGCTTGTTCAGTATGGCTGTTATTCTCTAGTTGGGATTTCAGAAGTGACAAACCTGCACGATCACACCAACACAAATTAGTGCTATGTTCAGATCATGGATTTATCAAGTGGAAAGTAAAAAAAAAAAAAAGTCTTATTTCACTTCAGTTTCTTCTTGACTTTTCCCACCACAAGTCAATGATCGAAATATAGCCCAAGGAAAAAGCTGTTAAAATTGATTGTAGGATCTTAGGCTTGTGGCAAGAAATTTCTGATAAACTTGTTCTCTAGGAATAAGAAGCTCTGTTTCATCAACTGTTAGGACAATAGGATGATGAGTGTTTGTTTTTACCATGAATGCTCTTTCTTTTCAAAGCTATCTGCTATGTAAATATACCAAATATCTACGATTTTTCCCTTTCAAGTAATGATGTGGCTATGAATTATTTTAATGGCACCCCACGTTTTTCTCTATCTACATGCTTGTATTGCATGTTCATTGAAGCCATCAGTTGACTGGATTGCAGCTTCAGACCTTGGAGATGAAACTGCAAAATTGGCATTGGGCCTTTACTAGTTGTATGTTGGATATTCTATCAAATGTTTTTGAGGACAATGTGTTATTTCATTGTTCCTTGTGCAGGCACCAGAAGATCATGCTACTGCATGAGAGGCATTGAAGGTAAGTTTTATGGAATCTCTCTCTTCTTCTTTTTTGCCTTAGTTTTTTGGTGTGTGGCATCTTCTTTTTGTTCTTATATTTTTCTTCCCAATAGGTCACACATCTTCAATAATTTGTTTGTATTCAAATGGGAACTCTCTTGTTTTGCGAATCACATTATTTAAAACATAGATTACATAACATGAAAAACCAAGTTTTTAAAGACCTTCTAGACCAGATCATTGGTTGAATTTTTTGTTGACTAATTGTGTGTTGACTCTGGTTGCATATATGGTTCAAGATGCACATGATATACAGGTGGCATTCATGTAGTTGGGTCATGGGAATTGTTGCCTTGAGCCTTACTCAATATGTGAATTTTGTAGAGTCTTTTGATATCAGAGGTGATATATATGCCTTTATTTTTTCGTGTGTGTCTTTTCCTGATTTGTTTTGTTTTGTTTTGTTTTTTCTTCTTTTTCTACATGAGTGGCATCCCCATTGATTTTTTTTTTCTAATACATTTTTTTTTAAAGACAAGAAATTTTAGCTCTCCTTAAGAATAGAATAATTAAGAAGAAATGGATTTTGAAATAGGAAACTAGTTCTATGTGGATGAGGTGACCAGTTGTACAAAAAAGTGGAAAAGTATCAAGATGGTTGTGTGATTGCACGATTCCTATTAAGTTGAACATGTGAATTGAGGAGTAATTTGATCCATGTGGAGGGTGATTAAAAAAAAAAATAGAGGAAAACCGAGGAGAACCTGAGATGTGGTGATAAGAAATAACATGATTAACTTAAATTTAATTGAGGATATAACTTTAAATAGAATCAATTGGAGGAAATAATTGACCCCAAATAATTGGGATATTGATTTGTTGAGTTGAGTACTTTTCAGAAGAAACAAAGAATATACACACACCTCACATAATTTGTCTCTATTTACATTATTTATTTTCATGATTACAAAAGAACATTATTGGGAATTTTCTAACCTCTTTGTATTCGTTGTTGGCTATATGGCCAAATCTTCTGATTTTCCTCTTTCCCAGCAGTCTTCTAATTTGTTTGGAATTTGGTATAAATAGGTTTGTGATTGTTTCACTGTTTCATGTTTCTTCCGTTCACGCCATGTTATTTTTTATACCAGGATACATGTTATCTATAGATGCATGTTTTTCTTACTTCCTTTTATTTTTATTATATTTTTAATCTTTTTGATAGTTGAGTGTTGAGCATACTATTTGTTCAAACCTAAGCAATGACCGTCTTGATTGTTCTTAAGCTGGTATTGAGTAGGACTGCCATTAATTTTTTAGTTAGAACATTTTCACCAAATCATACAAATTTGGTTACCCAAACATTTTCAGAATGCAGCATGTGTCTTAGTTCCTAGTGGATTTGGAGATCGTGGTGTGAAAGGAATGATGCTAGCTGCAAAGTATGCCAGAGAAAATAAAGTTCCATATCTTGGGATTTGCTTGGCCATGCAGATTTCTGTTATTGAGTATGCTAGATCTGTAAGTGACTTTCCTTCCAATAGATTGACATGTTTCATATGACAGACCATGTACTAACCTTATTTTCATCACATGTTTTAGGTTTTGGGTTGGGAAAAGGCAAATAGTACAGAATTTGACAACGAGACACCCAATCCTGTTGTAATTTTCATGCCAGAGGTGCTTGCATTGTATTGCATATTTTTGAGCTACTCCTTTGAAAGAAACACTGGTTATAGCAAATTAATAACCATCATCTTTCTATTTTTATACAGGGTTCAAGAACACATATGGGAAGCACAATGAGACTGGGGTGTCGCGAAACGCCGTTTCAGACTCCTGATTGTATCACTGCAAAACTGTAAGAGATATTAATGCTCCATTTAATAATTTCCAAAAGTGAACCCAACATCCCTTTCTGCGAGATATGAATGTCCACATTTTCCAATCAAGTTTCTTTGATTTTTTCATCTTCCTTCATGCATGCATAATACTATATTCTCTGTTTATTTCTAGGTACCATAATTCAGAGTATGTGGATGAACGACATCGGCATAGATACGAGGTTAGTTATGAAGATTGATTTGGTGGAAGAAAAGTGTTCATAGACATAATACTTATCACGGGATATATACTTGCCCATGGCATTATTGTTACAGGTGAATCCAGATATGATTGACATGTTAGAAGAAGCTGGCTTAAAATTTGTGGGGAAGGATGAAAGTGGAAAGCAAATGGAGGTTAGATTGCTCATCAGACTTTAAAGGTTGGATGAGCTTGACAAACTGATAATATTGAATCGGTTAAAATCTCAATTTAATTTTTTCTTCTTGAATTGGTTAAAATTTCAATTTCATCTTAAAAAACTGTCCAATTGGTAGTTCATATTAGGGTTATATTTTTCTTTCAATCATTGTTGAATTTTGAATTATTGTTAATATTTTCCTTTACTTTCTCCAGATCTTAGAACTTCCCGGTCATCCATTCTACGTGGGAGTGCAGTTCCATCCAGAATTTAAGTCACGGCCCGGGAGGCCTTCAGCTCCATTTCTTGGTATTTAGTGGTTAAATGAATTTATGCATCTCATTGACTGACTATTTTAACCCAGATCTAAACAATTCCATCTTAAACATACCAAGGTGGGAGGTATTCAAATGTTTGTATGCAGTTTATGAAATGTTCATTTTATTATATATACATTCAGAAAAGATCATTCACTCTAATTGAATGAACCTTGCAGAGGAAGTGTTAGGTTTTCACAACATTAGCTTCTCACTCATGTTTGTGTTTTTCAAGCCAATATTTTCACTTTGGCTTCATTTGCTGTTGTTCACATGAGGTAGTAGTAATGACTTGCGCTTCTGATCTGAGAGAAGATAGAAAAAAACTTCTAATGCTCCTCCTTTCAACATGGGAAAATGGGAGTTTTACGTCCTCCGAGAATTGAACAGTTCATTTTTGTGTATGGGATTTGCATTCACACTACTTGATCCTCGATAAATAAAACTAAAGGTCGGGCGATGACCGGAAAACTACCATTTTCTGTACAAAAATCAACAATGATGACCAACTGAAATTTCTAGTACATTTTTCTAAAGCACTTGCTTGTAGATTCATGTCGTGCTATTTGCTTCCCAATCGACGAATTGCCACATGTAAAAGCCAGCAGATTGCTTTAATTTGATGCCTTGTATACAATTCCATAAAGAAAAGTTGATTAACTGTATTTTTATTCCAGTATAAGCTTTTTTCTAATGATCTATCTATCTTCTATCTTAACAGTTGTGATTTTGCATTGTAGGACTTATCTTAACAGATGTGCTTGGAGCACAAGTGGTTTGTTTGACTGTGGTGATAATTGAATGTGAATGATATTTTTGAAAAAATAAAAAGCGTGACAATGTTCACACTAAATTAGGTGTATGGTTTATATAGTAAAATAGTTGTATATGTTTGTTTTTACATACATGTATACCTTTCTTTTTGTGAGATGTACTCTTTCCTGTGGCAACATTGTTGATTGAATATATGCTTGAACTATTTCCTGTCTCTTTTAGTGCCAATACATTGCTGTGATATTGCTAGCTATTCAACATTGTTGATTGAATATATGCTTGAATTAGTACAATTTTCAAAAAAAAAAAAAAGGATATGACGGCGTTTCTACAAACGTCTCTTAAACCTTACATACTAACGGTCATATTTGTTTAAAAAAGATATGACGGCGTTTTTTCAAAAACGTCGCTAAATGTCGTCAGTGGATGACATTTGACATTTGGCGCGTGTGTTTAGGAGGACATTTGGCGGCGTTTTTAAAACGTCGCCTATACTAATATCACGACGTTTTTAAAATGCCATAAAGCTATAGCGACGGCCGCGTCCTCGGCGTTTGGTGCTAAGCGTCACAAAAAGAATTGGCGGCGTTTTGGACACTTTTAGCGGCGTTTTTTAAACGCCACTAAAAGCTAAATTTCCTGCAGTGTGAGAATAGAGAAAAAGTGTAAAAGCCTTGTTTGACATAATCTATTTTAGTCTATTTTTTTATCTTTTTATCTTTTTTGAGTCACATCAATCAACATCTCCTCTCTACTTTTCTACACACCTTTTTATAAAAAGTCAAAAAGTACACTTATTTAGGACATAAAACTATCACAACAAAAAATAAGTACAAAAAAAAAAAACTTGTCCTTTTAACCTCAAAAGATTTACCGTTGTCCTTAATATCCTACATACCCGTCTTTTTGAATTTATCAGCATTTTTTCATTAAAAAATTAGGAAAAATTACAATTCAATGTATTTTTCAAAAAATTATAATTTAGTGATAAACATTATAAGAATTAATATAAAATTAGAGCAATGCTACATCTACCAAATTTTGGTTCGCTAGAATCGCCTGAATTTGTGCATGCCGGTCATCCAGGAATGAAGGTGACAATTGCGGTTGACAAGGGTTGCACAAGTTGTTCGGGCAGTCTTCCGACTTACAAAATTCGGGCAATTTGGACGAATTCAAATTTGGTGTATCACTCATTTTCATTAAAATTATATAATTTTCCATGTATATAAGATAGATTTTACTGTTCATAATGTGGTTTCTATTTCGTCCCTCTTTGTCCATAATGTCCTTGAACTTTTTAACTTTCAATTCATTTGGATGGGATAAATGAAATTAACTTTTTGCCCCTCTATTTTGTGTATGTTAGAATGAGAATCCTATTTAATTTGTCATTTTTAGGTCTTGTTTTGTAATTTCATCATGTCTATGTAGTCTACCTTGACTTTTTTTGAAAAAATTATGTGGCGATCTTAGTTAAATTCACTTGGTGCCCCTACTTGATATTTATTAGTTAAGACTGTAGGACTAGTACTTCTTGTTAGAAATTTAAGAAACAATTTAACAAGTGTCAAATAATAAATAATGCGTCTAAAATCACCAAATAATCACTCTTCTTTTGTTACCGATATGCTACTAGACCATCATTACACTTCATTTCCCCGACACCTATTGAATATAGAGGGAATTATTGCCCAATAAGCCTCATTTGGGAATATACTATTTTAGTAATTTTTTGACTTTTTACGAAAAGATGTGCAGAAAAGTAAAGAGAGAGAGAGTTATGTGACAACTTATAATGACTTTTTGACTAAAAGTGAAAGTTTCCAAAAGTTACAAATCAGTAAGGGATTTCTGCAAATGACAATAACATTGGACAGTTGGAAATTCATTACTAACTCATGAGAGTCTAATCTTACTACTAAAACGACACTGTTTTCTCTATTCTTCTCCTTCCCAAACCTAGCTACCCATTTCACTATTTCTAGCTCTCTCTCTCTCTCTCTCTCTCTCCGACCTATCCCTCTTGTTTTCCGATGACATCCCTCTTTTTCAATGCTCTGCAACTCTCTCTTACTCTCTTACACATCCCTTTCAAATGCCTTCTCCAGATTGTGATTTTCAAAATTTGAAAATGTATATCATTTTCTCTGTCTCTTTATCTCATCTCAACTCCATCTCTCTCTTAGCCCCTCATTCTTCTTCGCCAAGCAACCACCATTGCACGGAATCAAGAGCTTCTTCTGTCTCGGTCACCGCCCTTTCATCTCAATCAACTCTTGATCTAGACTTCGATTGATTTTGACCATAGATTCTGAGCAAGCACCATTGAACTCTCTCTTGTGTAGATTTCATTCTAAATCGGTTAAGCATGGTAATTTACAATTTTAGAGTGATTTGAGTTTTTATGACCTGGGTTTAGTATATTTCTTTTTATTTTTTGGCTGATTGTTGTTTTTGGGATTTTGTTTGGTTGTTGTGGCACAAACAATGAGTATGTCAAACATAGCAAAGGTTTGGTTTGGCCCCTCTTCCATCTCTTCATCTCTCTCTAAGCTTGAGAATTTCATTCTAGGTATTTTGCCTATTTTGGTACTGTCAAGCTCTTTTTTTTTTTTCTTTTTTTTTGGTGCATACAACATGTTCTGTAAAATGCCTCAATTAAATTGGTTTATTTTCTTTTGGTAAAGCCAACTGCTTATATAATTCTACTTTTTGTTGTTCAAATAATGAATGAATCTATCATAACATGCCAAGTAAATGACAGTACAACCTTTTCTATAGAGAGTTTGATTAACAGTGCATGAATGCTCTTAGTGCTAGTAATGTGAATGTTATGATAGACTAAAATGTTATAATATTTAATTGACCAATATTCTAGTAGCTTTTGTTGTAATGGTTATGTTCATGAAAGAAATTCATGAAATTATGGCCTTTTGATAAGAGAGGCGACCAATGTTTCTTGATCAATTGCTTGTGATGGCTTCATGGTTTCTTGATAGGCTTAATTAAGAACTAGTACCTTAGTTAAAATTGGAGGCTTTAGCTTGTAGTAGTTCTTACTCATTTGTTGCACTATTGTATGAGTTTTTGTTCTTTTATTTTTTGAGGATCTATCTTCCTTGTATCTTGCCCATTATTTTCCTTTCTTTATTTTTTTTAACTGTTATTTCATTTACCTCTTGATAGAGAGATGATGATCTTTTACCTATAATATGAGTTGCTTGCAATCATTGTGTATTGGAGGTACAAAAATTATCAGAGAGTACATGTATTTGCTTGTTCCTTTATTGTCATGGTCATGCCTATGCATAATCAAGATGTGAAAATTTGCAAATCATTCGATCTTCCAACACTTGCACCCCACATACAGTACATTTGCACCTCACAAAGACTACACTTGCATCCCACACAGATTTCACTTGCACCCTTTAATCTTTTCCATTCTCACTTTCCGTCCAATCATTTCATTCAACCAACCATTATTAATTTTTTTTTATTTATTTAAATTTTCATGTTGTCAATGTTTTACTTGCACGTTACCCATTCATTCTTAATTGTGCACTTGCCCATTCAATGTTTATTGAATATTTTCATTTCACTAAGACTACCATGCATTTGTTCCTTTATTATCATTGTCATGTCTATGCATAACCAAGATGTCTAAATTTCCAAATTATTGGGTCCAACACTTGCATCCCACACAGACTGCATTTGCACCTTACATAGACTACATTTGCACCCCACACAGAATTCACTTTCACCCCCTTAGTCTTTCCCATTCGCACTTTCTGTCCAATCGTTTCATTGAAACAACTAATTTTTTTTTTTCAAAAATTTCATATCGACTTCTATCATGTCAGTGTTTGACTTGTACTTTACTCATTCATTTTTACTTGTGCACTTGCCTATTCAGTGTTTATCGAATGTTTTCATTTCACTAGGACTACCATGTATTTGTTTATTTATTGTCATTGTTATGTCTATGCATAACCAAGATATGAAAATTTGCGAATCATTGGGTGCTCCAACACTTACACCCCACACAGACTATACTTGCACCTCATACAAACTTCACTTGCACCCCCTCAATCTTTTCCATTCTCACTTTCCGTCCAATCATTTCATTAAACCAATCAAATTTTTATTCATTTTTTAATTTTCATGTCGGCTATTATCATGTCAATGTTTGACTTGCATTTTACCCATTCAGTCTTAGTAGTGCACTTTACCTATTTATTATCATTGTCATTCTTAATTGCACACTTCCCTATTCAAAGTTATCTAATGTTTTTATTTCACTTGGACTACCATGTATTTGTTCATTTATTGTCATTATCATGTCTATGCATAACCAAGATGTGGAAATTCTCAAATCATTGGTTCATCCAGCACTTGCACCCCACACAAATTGCATTTGCACCCACACAAATTACACTTGCACCCCATAAGATTCTAACCAATTTCT